GTGGTGGGGGTCCCAATCACCCGTCACCATTATTATCACCACACACACCACCTACCACCACACCTCCACCACACACACCACTACACACACACACACCACACCACCACCACCACCACACACACACACACACCACCACCACCCTACACCATACAGCCACCACCACCACACCACCCACCACCCTACACCATCCACCACCACCACACCATACCCTCCCACCACCACACCATACAGCCACCACCCTCACCATACCACCACCACACCGCTACCAGCTGCCCCACCACCACACCAACACAGCCCTACCTCACTTACCACACACACACCATCTCACACCATATCCCACACCATACCACCACCACACCCCACTCCACACCACCCAACCATACACCACCACACACCTAGACCACCACCACCATACACACATCATACACCATCACCATCACACCACCACACACACCATACCCACCACCCACACCACACACACCATGCCCCACCACCACACTCACCATACAGCCACCCACAGCACACCACTACACCACCACCACCACTACACCACCCCACCACCACATACCACCATCACACCACACCATCCACCACCACACCACAGCACCACCATACCCACCACACACACCACCACACCACCTACCCACCACCACCATACACCACCACCACACCACCAATCACCATCGCAACAATCAAAAGTACTACCCACCTTCCAACAAGACCACCTCCTCATCATCACCACCACCGTCATCACCACCACCACCTTCAACAAGACCATCATCATCATCACCCACCACCAATCATCACCACCACCATCCACCCATTCTACCCCACACCACTACCACCTCCACCACCATCACCACCCTCCCCCCACTCTGCACCACCACCATGTGCCCCTACCCATCACCCTACCACCCCACCATCATTACTCACCCACCTCCACCCACCATCTACCACCACCACTCCCCCATCACCACCACTACCACCTCCCACCACCATCACCACCACCACCCTCCCCATCACCACCCTACCACCTCCACCACATCACATCCTACCACTACCACCTCCACCACCATCACTACCACTACCACCACCACCACCACTGTCCACCCTACCACCACCCACCACAACCCACCACCACCTACCACCACCATCACCCACTACCTCCCCCATCTTCTCCACCCACCTACCCACCATCACCACCACTACCTCCCCATCACCCACCTACCCACCCACCCACCCACCACTACCACCATCCTCCACCACCACCATCTTCACCCACCCCCTACCACCACCATCACCACCACTCCTCCCCATCTTCACCACCACTACCACCATCACCCTACCACCACCCACCACCACCACCACCACCCCACCCTCACACCCACCCACCACCACGTCACCCCACACAGTTTCTTGAGTGGGGGTCGCCAGGCAGTGAGGTATTAGGGCTTGGTCTCCACATTCCAACACCTCACCTGCGGTGTTCCCCAGGGGACCAAGATGGGACCACTGTGCTTCCTCATCCTGATCAACGACGCTCTATCGGACACTCCTCACAGGTGGAAGTACGTGGATGACTGCACTGTGGGGGTTTCAGTGGACAACACCGCACCAGACTACTCATCGCTACAAGGCACCCTGGACAGGCTACAGGCATGGACTACGGAGAACAAGGTCACCATCAACCACACCAAAACCGTAGTCATGCACATCAATACCGCCACCACTCCAGTGCAAGCCCCAGCAGTCACAGTGGGTGCCCATCCTCTCCAGCTGGTGCAGTCTGCCAAACTCCTGGGTGTAACTATAGACAACAAACTTGACTGGAAGGCCCATGTAAATAACACAGTCAAGGCAGCCTCGTACCGTCTCTACATGCTACGAAGACTTAGGTCACTTGGGACACCCACGCCAGAGCTGAGGACCATTTACAACGCCTTTATTCTCCCCAAACTAACGTATGCGTCACCAGCCTGGTCGTCTTCTCTCAACTCCACCCAACAACAGCAAGAGAAGGTACAGAAAAGGGCCTGCAGATTCATGCTCGGATCAGACTACTCCGGCTACACCAACGCTCTGTCCACCCTGGAAATGCCATCCCTCAGTGACCTCCACCACCAAGCACTGGAAAGGTTTGGCAGTGGACTACTGCACCACCCTCATCATTGCCACCTCCTGCCACCTGCAGCCCCCCACCCAACTCATGCAGTCCGCCACTACAACAAAATACAGCCCATAAGAGCCCGCACCGATAGATATAAGGACAGCACCATCCCATCTAGTGTTCAAATAATGAACAACTCCTGATTTATGTACTGTACAGCCCTGAAAATGTATTCAATGCATATTATATCATTATGTCTAAATCAAATGTAAGTCTGAATATTTTCAGCCACCGACTGCAACTCTATTACTAAACCGTTTATTATTATTATTATTATTATTATTATTATTATTATTATTATTATTATTACCACCACCACCACCACTGTCACCACCACCACGACCACCACCACCACTGTCACCATCACCACCAAAACATAAACTCATCATGAATGTGACAGAAACAGCAGACATTACCAAACATGTTAGTTTAGGTTAGGTTAGGTTCATATTGTCATTGGTCTTAGATTAGTTTAGGTTAGGTCCATGTTGTCATTGGTCTTAGATTAGTTTAGGTTAGGTCCATGTTGTCATTGGTCTTAGATTAGTTTAGGTTAGGTCCATGTTGTCATTGGTCTTAGATTAGTTTAGGTTAGGTCCATGTTGTCATTGGTCTTAGATTAGTTTAGGTTAGGTAAGGTTCATGTTATAATTGGTCTTAGGTTAGGTTAGGTGATCACAAATTAATAAACACAAGTACAGTTAATTCCAGCCATACTAATTACTGCCACGTCTTGTGATTTTAATGCTAGACAAGGATAAATGTGTTGACCCATTTGAGATGTGTGTGTGTGTTATTTTCTGTAACTCACACAACACTACAACACACACACAAAACTACAACACTAAAATACCTAACCTAACCTACCATCACATTAAAACCTAACCAAACCTACCCTCTCCTACCCTGCCAAACGCTTATAATCGCCACAGTCAAACTTACCACAGGTGCAACACTTACCTGACAAGGGGGTGCCAAGAAACACGCTGACAATATACTGTACATAACCTGGTGAGATGGAGTAGTGGTGATGGTGATGATGGTGGTGATGATGGTGATGATGATGGTGATGATGATGGTGATGATGGTGATGATGGGTTAAACACATGTATGATAATTATGTTGATGAGTGAGACTGAATTATTCTTTGTGGGTGAAAAATATTAAAAAAAAAGTAAAAAAAAAAAAAAAGGAATTCTACAGTGTTTGAATAAATGATTTCCTTTTGCTTATGGAGATGTTGAACACTGAACCATCACACACATACACACACACACACACATACACACACAACAAATGTACACACACACAACACATGTACATACACACATAACACAACACATGTACATACACACACATAACACAGACACATGTACACACAGGAGGGAGGAGGACGGGTAGGGGTAATATAAGCCAGGGTGTCAGTGGGCCAAGGTGTGGGCCAGGTGGTGACCCATATGTTGATTTAGACATAAGCCTTTACTGTACACCTGTTGTGTCTGTATCAGCCCCCCCCCCCCAACACCCTAGTACTGGACGCAGGTTACGACGTGAAAATTGTCGGCATTACCGGAGGCCCTTGCTTGACAGTGAAAATTGATTATGTTTTTCAGTCAACTTGCACTGACATTCCTGAGATTGTGGGCCATCTGAGAGCATTTGGTTACGCCGTCACCTGTACTGTACTGTGTTGTTAAAGTGTCTGGGGAAAAAGTGCATTTTGGTGTTCACAAAATGACAAAGAAAAAATAAACAATCTGTCTTATAAGATACACGAAATATGACATAAATGGAACCCCATAATAAAAAAATAAAAAATCTCAAAGGTACAAGGTTGATTCAAACCATTAATACTGTGTACTGTACTTGAGGTATTAATGGCCTTAAGCATTGAAAACTTCACACAAATTCACTGATTATTTTTGAGAAACAGCTGAATTTTTGGTGTTTATCTACCCATAAAAAAGACCATCAAGGCCTTTACGTGTTAGACCCTGGCACAGGAGGTCCACAGGTGGTAAGAACAATTATTCATCTGGCAATTTATGAGACATGGCTGCTGCTACTACTACTGCTCTTAGTACTGTACTATGCTATCATTACTACTGTACTACTACTATTGTACTACTGTATTAATTTTCTTACTACTACAGTACAGTGATCCCTCGGTTAACGAGCGCCTCGGTTAACGAGATTTCGGTTAACGATTTACCTTCCATAAGATTCTTAACTTCGGTTAACGAGTAATCCCTCGATTAACGAGTTTTTAACGAGCCGACCTGAACATGTTTTAGCTTGCACTTGGCGGTCCACCAGCTGTAGTATTAGTCCGCCAATACAGTAATCGGTTCTAGGGCTTAAATTCCTTACTATTTTAGTAAAGCTTTAGTAAAGTTTCATATAAAATTTTTCAGTCATTTTAACAATTATTGAACATAATTGAAGTATAGAAAGCTAGTTTTTTGCGCGCCATACAGCATGTCAACACACCATACAGGCGTCAGTCTCTGTGTCTTTTCAGTGGAGGTAACATCTTGCTTCAGTCTCTCTTCAACTAAACGCTTTTTTTCTGTGTTTCCAGGCAAATTATTGGTCAATTTAAAATTTATTTTACATGTTGACAATACTGTATATAATGCAATGCAGTGTTGATTTCAAGAAAATAATCTTGAATTACACCAAGAAAACTAAAATTTTATGGGGCATTTTGTATTAATGAGAGAAAAATATATAACAGATTTAATTAAAAAAAAAGACTGAAAGGTTAAGGAAAACTGACGACTAACTAGAGACAAAAACAGGAGGTGTTCAAACCAAGTACCGTAAGACTCACCCTTCTTCTCGCTCATAATGGTCTCTCTTGACGGATATCCCCGTTGATGCCATCACCACAACCACGCTCTTTCTTCTTATAAATATATTACAGTACTGTGCTCTTCACCAGGTCCATCAGCCGTATAGCGTCTCTAGGGGTCACAGTTATGTATCTGATGAGAGTGAAAAGTCCATCTTAAAATCACACAGCAATACTTCACATCAAACTATATCATATCATTGAGGCAGTACTGTACAGTAATGGTAATTGAGGCAGTACTGTACAGTAATGGTAATTCATATCAACTCTACCTAAAAGTCAGACTTCAATAATAATTAAAATCAGACTATCCTAAAATACTGTGCCATTATTCATTCAAATTAAACTATTATAATAAAATGTTCATAATTCTGGGTTTACTATGAACGTCTCTGACATCTTAAGAACATAAAAATGATAACTAAAATAGTGTTTACGTCTTAGAGGAAGATCCACATTAAGACCAGTGCTTCATCTCTACCTGACTCCTCTAACTCTTATGTTAAGATGGTAGTGACCAGTGCTTCATCTCTACCTGACTCCTCTAACTCTTATGTTAAGATGGTAGTGACCAGTGCTTCATCTCTACCTGACTCCTCTAACTCTTATGTTAAGATGGTAGTGACCAGTGCTTCATCTCCACCTGACTCTTATGTTATTATATCTCATACAACCCAACATCACAAACTATCAACAGTACAGTACTACACCCTGTTGTCCAGCCGTACACAGTTGTGGACAAAAGTTTGTTCCCTGCGGTGAAACTGAGTCAAGGGAACGAGTCTCTGACCTAACTTAACCCTGACTGTCATCTGGTACAGGAGTGTTGCTTTATTTCATTTGTGGTCCATACTGCTTCCTCTTGAGAGACCACACACAGACACATGCACATGCACACACACACACACACACACACACACACACACACAGTCTTATACTCAGTGTAATAGTTTTCCTTTCCCTCTCTTCTACCATCAACATCTACATTAAACCTTCTCCTTACTGCTCCCTCACTTCCCATTCTCTCACAACATGTACAGTATAGTACAGCATCTCCATGGAGTACTGTACCTAGTACAGTCTTTGAAAATCAGGAGGGAGTAGTTGAGGAGGAATAATGTAGTACTGTACTGTACTGTACAGGTGTTCCTCTACTTACGAACGAGTTACGTTCCTGAGGCTTGTTTGTAAGTCCAACTTTACTCTCGTAGATACCAAACATATCGTACAAAATGAAAAGATTATGGATATTTAGTACAGCTATACCCTTTAATACAGCCTTTAAACCTGGCTCACTCTTTTCCTCTTAGGTAATGTTTGTTCCATCTGGAATTTTCTTCAAAATAATCCAGTCTCATCCACATTAAACACCTGTTCTGGCAGGTAACCCCCTCAGTGATGAAGTTTGTATCTCTGAAAGTTTGTAAGTTGAACGTTCTTAAGTAGAGGAGCACCTGTACTGTACTGTACTGTGACTTCAGCCATGGAGACCATCAGCTCATTAGGGACAAATTATGGAGAATAACTGGAGGGATATAGTTGAAGAGGAATAAAAAATAGACAAATAAATGAAAGACTTTTAGGAAATATTTGAGATAACAGTAGAGGAATGCTGTACTGTACTGTACTGTACTGTACTGTACTGTGCTGTACAGTCACAATCCAAAGTTTTGACACCCCCCTGGCTGGGTGTTCGCCAAGGCCAGAGTTGAGGTAAGGCTGGGTGATCGGACGCAGACAAACAACCACCACAACACTCCCAGACTCACAGCACACGAGCATGGAAGGAAATTTTTACGAATTTTGACATGACATGCACCTGCATAACAAAATTTCATTCATAACATTGTTGGCACACATAACAATAGCAAGTTAGAAGTGAGGCATGAGAAACTTGGGCAGTTCTCGACCCAGTTATGAAATGTGCGTAACTAGTTGCAATATTGGTGACCTCTGTGCCATAACTCTCATAATCCAAGATATTATGAAGTGAAATTTAAAAACTAAAAGCAGCAGTAGACAGGAAACAAGGCAAGTGACCAAGAAGTAGTCACTAATGATGACACACGGCCAGGCATCTACGCTGAGGGTCGAGGTCTTCGGCAAGGTCGCTGCTCCGGACCAGACAAAAATTGTTTGGGTGATACCAAGATTAATGTGAATTGCAACAGCAATAAGCTGAATAAATATTTTTCAAGTTTTCATCACAGAAAATTTAAACATGATACCCGAGGCACCGGCTATATACAGAGATAGTGAAGAAAAGAGATTAAGCGAGATAGTAGTGACTAGTAACGATATTAGTAAGCAAATAGACAAACTAAAGCCTAATAAGTCGCCAGGTCCTGATGAGACATTTGCCAGAGTATTAAAGGAATGTAAGGAAGAGCTTAGTATGACCTTAGCAAATTTGTTTAACCTTTCCTTAAAAACGGGTGTAGTAACAGAATCCGGGAGGATAGCGAATTTAATACCGATTTTCAAGAAGGGGGATAGATCACTATCTTCTTGCTACCGTCCAATCAGTCTAACATCATTGTAGGCAAATTGCTAAAAGCAATCATTTCAAACTCTATTCAAAATCACCTGGAGAAACACAAGTTGATCAATGATTCCCAACATGGCTTCACAAGTGGGCACTCATGTCTAACTAATCTATTAACATTCTTTTCAGCTGTTTTCGAATCGGTGGACGAGGGGCACAATTATGATGTGGTATATCTCGACTTTAGCAAAGCCTTCGACAGAGTCCCCCACGAAAGGCTAATAAGAAAAGTAGAGTCTCATGGCATTAAAGGAGATATTCGAAAATGGATTAGTGCATGGTTACAGGACAGGAAACAGCGAGTGAGCATTAATGGCACTAAATTCCATTGGAGCAATGTCACTAGTGGAGTTCCCCAAGGCTCAGTACATGGACCATTATTATTTATTATATACATAAACGACATAGATATCGGCATAGACAGTAACATAAGTAAATTTGCTGATGGCACTAAAATAGGACGTGTAATTAAATCTGACGAGGACTCCGCAAAACTACAGGAAGATCTAAACAAATTTTTCAAATGGTCTGAAAAATGGCAGATGAAATTCAATGTGGACAAATGTAAAGTACTCAGTATAGGAGACGTAAACAGGGAAACCAGTTACCAGATGAACAACGATGCCATAGAGAAATCCGACTGCGAGAAAGATTTAGGAGTAATGATAAGTAGGAATCTTAAGCCAAGTAAACAATGTGTTTTTGCTCGTAACAAGCCTAATAAAGTACTTGGGTTCATACAAAGGAGTGTTAGTTACAAGACTAGCGAGGTCATCCTAAAACTATATCTTGCGCTTGTCAGACCTCACTTGGATTATGCGGTTCAGTTCTGGTCACCGTATTACAGAATGGATATAGAATCATTGGAAAGAATTCAGAGGAGAATGACAAGACTAATCCTGGGCATTAGGAACCTTGAGTACAGAGACAGGTTAAAGCATCTTAATTTGCACTCCCTCGAGAGACGTAGAGCGAGGGGCGACCTGATAGAGGTGTATAAATGGAAGTCAGGGCTAAACAAAGGTGATATAACAAAGGTACTCAAACTGTCCAACCAGGAGCGAACTCGTAACAATGGTTTTAAATTAGACAAATTTAGATTTAGGCGCGAGATAGGTAAACACTGGTTTGGAAATAGAGTAGTGGACGAGTGGAACAAGTTACCAAACATCATCATTAACTCTAACACGCTGGATAGCTTCAAACACAGGTTGGGTGGATATATGAGCGATAGGGGTTGGGTGTAAACGGGACTGTCCAGTATGGGCCAATAGTTACTGTTTCCTCCAGTCTTATGTTCTTATGGTAAGGTATGACGGCTGTGGTTAGGTTAGGTTAGGTTAGGTTCCAAATAAGTGGATGACCGAGACGATAACTTTACCTGTTTCACTGGTGTAAGGAAAGGTATACATAATCTAACAAATTTATGCAATTTTCTCGAAAACGAATCATTTGAGACGAGATAAACATTTACTCACACCTATAATAATAATGAGAGTTATAAGAATATATTATTATTATTATTATACGGTGTTATTACTACTGCTGTATAACTAACGGTACAATCACTCACCTGTACTCGGCCGGGATGTGTAGTTTCCTCCTCTATCTCTCTCTCTTATATAAAATGTTTGTGAAGATTCGAGAAAGTTGTAGATGATGATGTAGCAATTATGAGTGAGTCAAGTCACTGAGTTAATAACATTATTCAAGTCAGCCCTAAAGTGTACACATCCTCACCTAGTGGCTAGTGTTAGTCTTACTACCACGAACACGATTTATAGCTCGTTTGCTTTTTTGGCTGAATATATACATATAAATCAGAAAAAGTTTTAGGTTATGAATACAAAAATTTTAATTACATTTGTATTTCGTTATATTTTGGTCGTTTACGTAAATATTAAATAATGGTTTAGCGGCTTGTTTTCTTCGTGGCATATTTCTAACATGAAGAATCTTGCGTCAGTGTCGTCATGGTTACCATGACGCCCATCGTAGAGCACCTGTCAGCTGACTGTCAGGGGTACCTTATATAACCTTAGATAACTGTCAGCTGACTGTCAGGGGTACCTTATATAACCTTAGATAACTGTCAGCTGACTGTCAGGGGTACCTTATATAACCTTAGATAACTGTCAGCTGACTGTCAGGGGTACCTTATATAACCTTAGACAACTGTCAGCTGACTGTCAGGGGTACCTTATATAACCTTAGACAACTGTCAGCTGACTGTCAGGGGTACCTTATATATCTGACAACTGTCAGCTGATTGTCAGGGGGAACCTTGTATATCTTACACAACTGTCGACTGACTGTCAGGAGGGACTAATATCTAACACAACTGTCAGTGTGGGGTACTGTGCTGTGCTGTGCTGTACTGTACTAGGTGCGGTGCTGTGCTGTACTGTACTGTACTGTACTGTGCTGTGCTGTGCTGTACTGTACTGTACTAGGTGCTGTGCTGTACTAGGTGCGGTGCTGTGCTGTATAGGTGCTGTGCTGTGCTGTACTGTGCTGTACTGCACTGTGCTGTACTGTACTGTGCTGTACTGTACTCATTACTTCAGTGAAAAGAAGAAAACAGCACAGGATAATTATGCATGACAAGAATATAAAATTAATTACTACAACAAGAGAATAACACTTGAGATAAACAGCAACATCTTTGATAATGATGATGCTTCTCGAGTGCAAGACCTCTGCATCTGTCCTCCATTATCACATCAAAATGTCCCTCTTCTTCACCTCATAATATAAACACAGTATTGTGTAGTTTTCTGCATAAGCTGGATTTCCACAGTTAAGGGACAATTAAACACCAGGATAAAGAATCACAGACTCTATTAACATATTCTCTCTCAAGAACGTCTACAACAATATAGAAAGTATTCACCAGTACCAACAGATCTCTTTAGTATATAACTTAGCTTTTATAAAATACTCAAGTTCTCTGCAATTTCCTTAAAGTCAAAAATGTCTTCACTGGTCTTCTGTTGTTGCCTGAGAGATTCGTTAACAGTATGGAGACTCTTCTCAAATTTCACTTTGTGGTTTTCTGGATTTTTTTGACCAGCCAAGTAACAGAAGAGGACACAGTTTACTTCTTCAGGAATCTGCTGACAGAGAACAACAGGGAACACCATCTTCACGTCCTCCACCACACTGGCCTTCAGCTGCTGGTCTCGGCACACCAGGTTCACAATTAACAAACCTTAAAAAAAAAGGATCTTTTAATAGTTGCTTAAAAAAGATAAAATCTCAAAATTTCACAGTTTAACTTTCTGACTCTGTTAGATAATTTGCTGGTCTCAGCAGCTCATATAAGTTATCATGGTACAGGTATTTATTCTCCCAATACAATGCAATATTAACTAATTAAAGTATATTTTTGGGGCAGTACTTGGCAACAATTTTCACATTAAGATTTATAAACTTTATTACAAGATATCATCATAAGCACAGAATTACTGTAGGTATAAAGTATAGATACAGTAATTTCCACAAGTTAACAGTATCATGAAGTTGGTGCCTTAACGTAGATGTGAACACCACAGAGGAAGAGGTATGTGTGTACAGTGAATGGTGTTGTGGGGTGTGTGAGCTAAATTAAACATGACTTCAGCACATTTATGGATGGGGCAATGCAGGGAGAGAGAGAGTGACACTGGGAGACTGAAGGGTAAGGCTGAAACACTGATCATGTCCACCACACTGTACTATGAATGTAGTGAAAACATATACGACAGACACACACAGAGATTACCATCCTACCTCTTTCCTTGAGACAGGATGTCACCACTTGTAAGAAACTTCTCTCAACAAATGCCTGGGGAGGGCAGCTCATACCCAAACTTGAATCCTTGGAGTCTACATCGAACATGATCACATTAAATTTGTTTCCTGTGGGGGAATAATATATACTATAGGAAGTATGACCAAAAAAACAAAAATAATTTCAAGAGACAATAATTTCCTTTATCTGTATTGTATATGTGTGTGTGTGTGTGTGTGTGTGTGTGTGTGTGTGTTTGTAGAGACACACACAAAACACATACAAATAAATAATAATGGGAAAATAATCTCACAAATAATAATCAGAAAAAATTTATTAAAAATGTAACAGTCTACCCTCAAGACTACTCTGTGCTTTGTTATTAATAAAGCACAGAGAAGACTTGAGGGTAGACTGTTACATTTTTAATAAATTTGTTTCTGATTATTTGTGTGACTATTTTCCCATCATTATTTATTCGTATGTGTTTTACTTACTTTTATCCTCTTCACCACTGATTGACACGTTAGCTGCTTGGGCGATCGGTCACGTTTCTGTTACACACTGTTGACAAGTATACTGGGCTGCACAGGCTCCTGAATGTACCTGAACCTGCTCCAGTGTTGGTCAAGTCTTGTCTTGAAAGAGCTCACACTCGGTGCCGTCACAACACTTCTGGCAGATTGTTCCAAGAGTTCACAACTATCACTCAGAAAAAGTTTGCCCTCACAGTTTTCTGGATTTGCGGCTTCTTCAATCTTGAGCTGTGACCCCTTGTGGGGCGAGCGTCCGCCAGCTCCAAGTAAGGACACTCGACTGAGTAGTGCCCCTTGAGATACTTATACACCTCAATTAGGTCACCCCTTGCCCGCCTGTAGTATAAGCTAGGCAAGTTCAGGCGCTCCAATCTCTCAGGGTAGCTGAGGTACCGAAGTGCAGGCACCAGTCTGGTGGCCCTCCTTTGAACATCTTCAACCAACTGACAGTCCCTAGCATATCTCGGGAACCAGACAGGGTGACAGTGCTCCAGATGGGGAAGCACCTCACTCTTGAAGATCGTTATGAGGGACGAACCTTCTAGATATCTGAACGACCTTCTTATAAGACCCAATAATTTATTTGCCTGATTTACCTTCTTCTCGCAATGGCCCAGAATTTCAGCTCATTGTCAACATACACACCTAGGTCCTTCTCACATTCAGTCTCAAATAGTGCAGTTTCTTCAACCCGTTGGGACATATGATACGCCTCCTTACCATTGGTACGCCCCAGGTGCACCCTCTTACACTTCGTGTCATTGAATCTCAGCAGCCATTTCTTCAACCATTCTTGGAGCTCACAGAGATCCTTCTGCAGCTCTTCACAGTCCGCTTGGTTCTTGATTTCCTGAAATAACTTGGTGTCATTGGCAAACAGTGGGCCCAATACACTGCCCTGTGGTACACTACTTGTGACAGATACAGATGATGATTTCGTGCCATTAATCACCACACACTGCTTGCGGTCATGTAGAAAGTCTTTTATCCACACTTGTGTGTGTGTGTGTGTCTACACACACACATATTTACAATACAGATAAAGGAAATTACTGTCTCTAGAATGAATGGCTCCCTGTGCCAGCTGCGAAAATGCCAGCAACTTTAGAACCACCCACAGACATTCTTGGGTACATCCAGGGTGTCATCCGCGAATAATCAAGGACCGCGAAATAAAAATCCGCGATTTATCCATGCATACTGTATTGTAATATCACTTATTAGGATGACGCTTCACAGATATCTTTTTTTTTCCTTTTTTTTTTACGGGTATTAGCCCACCCGGGCACAAGTCATTGACCCACATCTGGGCCTGGGGGGCGAAAATGTAATCATAAAATAATAATAATAATAATAATAATAATAATAATAATAATAATAATAATAATAATAATAATAATATAATAATAATAATAATAATAATAAAAAAGAAAAAAAGATCAAAAGTGAGAAACAATATATGTATGTTGTGTTGTCAATAGCACGAGAAACAATTGAGACCCTGCAATTGTGTGTAAATGAGACAGAAGGTCAGATCAGCAATCTAGTTTCCTATTCTTAAATATCTATCTATCTACTTGATTACACCTATGGAATGGTAAAATGGATGAGAAAACTGGTTAATAATACATTTCCAGCTGATATCAATAATGTCTTACTTTCAGATTATTGAAACAAACATCAGCACAGAACTACACTTTAGTGAGATATATATCAAAGTTATTAGTTTTATTTAACTAGAGGTACAGTATGACCATGTTATTAACTTAGGTGTACAGTACTATTTCTACTGAAGAGTTACCAGATTCTGCTACTTTATGGATGTACTCAACACCATCACCAATATCCACCTTGAGTCTTGAATCAGGCAAGAAGCCAAACCATTCTTCGGCAACATTCACCATGGCTGGGTCAAGGTCAACAGCTGTCACCTTCACCTAAACCAAAAAAAAACACATTAATTATTTCTCTTCATTACTATAAACAGAACAAACACACATACACAATAACACTAACCTAATACCATAAAGGATTAAACTCATGTCACCAAACAAGTCCCTTTGTTGATGTCGTTGTTTCATAAGTGTCACAATATGATACTTATTATAGACACACGTTCCAGAAAACCATTTTAAAGATTACTGTCTTCAGGGACAAGATCTATTTCAGGACAAGAAGTATGACACAGACCTATTTCAGGACAAGAAGTATGACACAGATCTATTTCAGGATACAATATATATGATAGGGAAAGCAATGATACCTTTTGGAAGTACTTGTGAATATATGCTGCTAAAGGTCCACCTCCAAGACCTATTAGGAGGAGATCTGACACAGGAGGTGTAAGACCTAACCCAGCCACCATGGCCAGGTGATGCTGACACGACAGGAAGGAGTAGTCTATGGTCACTCTCTCCTTTATTCCGCCTTTTTTCTTCTTTTCTCGAACTAATGATGAGACAAAGATTAATATGTGCCCAGTTACCCCACACTGTATTTGAGAAGTCACACACTTTAAAGGCACTTAAACTTAGGGACAAACATCATACAATAAAGAAAAAGCTCTGACCTGTTTTCAACTTGGCTTCAGACTGCACAACATTCTGGTTGTCCAGGAATATGAGTCGTCTAAGTTTAGGAGCTCCGGGAGTCTGGACGTCCTCCACAATGTAATCACCGGAGTATTGACTGTGGCCACGAGTGATCTCCTTCCTCGAGCCAAGGTCTTCACCCACAGATAAAAAGGGCACCTGAGAAGAAGTAGTACAGTACTATCTTTCCTGTTCTACTACTGTATGAGATGGATCAAGAGACTTACGAGAAATGAAGATGACAAGCAGAGTGATGTAAGACTAGTGTAGAGAACAGAAGGTGAAGACAAGAGAGAGACATACTTCTCATGGGAACAACTTTACATCCACAAAATACAAAGCAAAATCCTTCCCCTCTACACAAGGTTTCATGTATGTACTGAGACATTTGATGGTTATCTCTCACAACTTGAACTGTACCAAAGTTTTACTATAGTCCCTACACCTGACTATTGCAAGCCTTCACCCTTCCTCATCTCTCTCACACATTTTTTGCTTATCCAAGTCTCTGACTCCAGCTGTCACTGTGGTTAAAATGTCTTAATCTTTTTAATGAGGCTCTCAGCATAAGTATGAGGAACTCGCCCACAGAAGAGCATACACTAAGGTCTCAAATACTCTCAATTTCTCTTCCAACACCTCAATGTTTTTTCTTATGTGATCCACGACACATGAGAGATTCCTGTATATCATTTGATAAGTTATTTCTTTGCCCAAGTGAAGCTGGACATTACACAGTTTCTATCGGTGACACTCTACATGGGGTCTGTAAAGCTGTTATTACCCCCATAATCTATGGATACAAACAACAGTTCTTTGTGCTCTGGGTCACAACCAGCTGGATTGGTTGGTATAATGGTATTCATCCTTCAGTATACATTTCTGTCTTCTAACAGACGTCTTAAAGAGTAAATGTTGGACATTGAGGGAAAATTGCCCTAATAAAACTTGCAACATATTCCAACAAGTGTTTGGCTTCAGTTGACTGCATCTTGGTCACATATTACGGCACTACTAAAACCTAGACCACCACTGTACAGACAATGACATGGCAACGCATGCACGCAAGTGTGCACACACACACACACACACACACACACACAGAAATATTGCAAATCTGTGGCTCAGGATTAAGCTGCATTAACACTGTAATAATGTATACATTAATTCTTCATAAAGATAAAAAAAGTTAAAATACCTTAGTGTGTGATGGTAATCTAGAAGGAGCTAATTCCATAACTTTGCTGGACAGTTCATCTTGTATTGCCTGGAGGTTGTGATAGCTCTGGTCCCTCATAAGGTGCACCACAATAAGGCGTGATGCTGCAGCGCTCTCTGCCAGCTTCTCCCTTCCTTTGGCACTCCCAAACATCCACTCATGTTCTCTAAATCATGATGGATATAAATAACATTTTCATATGAAACCTGTAAACTGTAGTCTTGTCTGCTAACACATGCCACTGTTGCCACACTCTCATTTTCTTCCTCTGTTAACAAGATCTCTTATACAGTTATAAATAATTGATAAACCTTTGATATTTTCCAGTGGGAACAACTATACAAGAGGTCCCTGACTTACGAACGCCCACTGATACGAACGGTGTTAAACTTTAAATGTACAGTATTTCATTTATCTGACGACTTATTTTTTACTTTCATTTACTGTGTTTTGTCATTCTATTTCTTTTTTTGCCTTAAATTAAGTGATTTTAGATGCATATAAGGACTTACGCTATGAAATAGTGGGATTTTAAACATTATTCTGTAAGTACGGTATGAACAAAACACGTGTTCTGACTATGTACAAATCCGACTTAAGAACGTCCTCAAAAATGGAACTCATTCATAACCCGGGGACCTCCTGTACTAGTAATGTTGTCGGTCTCTGATGAACTGTAAGATATGACAGTGTAATACAATCAACTGGGTGAAAGATGAGTCATTCAAAAGAAAGAAATGTGTTTCTTTAGTACCATCTTGGGGAGAGGTAAGGCAAGAGTGTCACTTGGTAGACTGTATCACTTTTTGAGGACCAGCCCAAGGTGGAAGTGTTGGACATATCACTCACATAGTCATCCTTCCCAAGTAATACAATATGGCCACAAGATCAGACCAGTCATTATACAGTACATGTACAGTGCAGTACAGTACTGTATTGTATTGATTTATCTTTTTAAATTACTTCAAGGTCATTAATTAGCGCTAATTAATGAAATTTTTACTTTATGAACCCAGATTGTTAATCAGCCTATAAATGTGTATCTTTGTATAAAATTTGAACCAAATCTACGTCATGACCTCATGTGCCGAAACACAAGATAAGAAGCCAGGCATTTTGATTGAGTCGAGCGACTTTTTTCTGGAAACTGAGGCGTAACACATGCTTAAATGGTAAACTTAGTCTATCGCTTAAATGGTAAACTTAGTCTATCGCTTAAATGGTAAACTTAGTCTATAGCTTAAATGGTAAACTTAGTCTATCGCTTAAATGGTAAACTTAGTCTATCGCTTAAATGGTAAACTTAGTCTATCGCTTAAATGGTAAACTTAATCTATAGCTTAAATGGTAAACTTAGTCTATCGCTTAAATGGTAAACTTAATCTATAGCTTAAATGGTAAACTTAGTCTATCGCTTAAATGGTAAACTTAGTCTATATTTTTGAGAAAATGTATATGAAGGTGATTTAAATTACTGACAGGCACGGTGTAACTGATGTTTAAAATACAGTACAAGGTGCCAAACCCACAGAACATAAGAGAGGTGCTGGGCTCCCTCCTACACCAACACTCTCTGAAGATGCTGAAGACAAGGACCACCACCAACCAGCCATATTCTTAAGTCTACAAGTTATTATATTTCAGAAGACTGTGGGTGATGCGGCCACAGTTGTAAAAAGTACCAGACTTTGTTACTTAAGTAAAAGTATTGTTACATTGACAAAATGTTACTCAAGTAGAAGTAAAAGTATCCAAAGTTCAATGTACTCAAGTAGGAGTAAAAAAGTATCTCATTCATAAAGTACTCAAGTACTGAAAGTAAAAAGTAATGACTTATTATTTGTCTCAAATATTAAAATAAATCTACAGTAAATTATAAAAAATAGTTAACTAAAGATAAACACAAAAGACACACAACATTACACATGTTTATTTGAAAATCTTTCAATTAAGATTAATTAATAACTGATTCTCCAACTGATGGCTGTCCCATCAGGATGTTTTGGGCCTAAATATAAGCCCAGCATGACCTACTGAAAGAGAATAAGTTCAGCCGCTCTTCTCCCATCACAGGGACGGTGAACGGGCTGTAAATATATCCACCCAACACTATGATCACTTCCTTCCTTATCCACACAAGTATCGTGAACGTGGACTTATGTACATGTTGTCTCTGCTGGCATTAGGTTAGGATACAGACCTATCTGAGGTGGGGGGATGACCTGCACTTGTAACTGTCCCAACACTAACACCCTTCAACACTGTTGTCAGGGACCTCCTGCCATAGTCACTAACTACCATGTGGTGAAGACAGTGTGTGGTGAATGGTGTTATTAAACCATGTGGTGAAGACAGTGTGTGGTGAATGGTGTTATTAAACATTACCTTCCATGAGGGACAATAAACACTGCAAATTTGATGGTGTTGGACTTCTTTACTGAGTCAACTATGTGAAGAATGTATCTTGTTTGGCCAGTTTTTGGGTCACACAGATGCACTGATGTGTCCTCACCAGCAATGCGCTGTGTGGGGGGGAAATAATATAAAAAAATATAGCCGATAAACACAAACTCCTAATACTGTACTACTCTAAACATTAATTATAAACCAATTTTGTTAAAATTTGAACAGCTGACACACAATAAACATTTTATATTTTTCCTGAAATCAAAATACAGTACAGTGGAGTTGTGATAATTTAGGGGGTTGGGTCCCAGAAGTCATCATGAATTATCAAATCACAAAGTATAGTTTACTTAATTTAAATGGTAATACAGTAATTAGTTTGGTTCCAGTGGCCATAAAATACACATTAACTGTTGCAAAACTGCTTTAATAATCATTAAGCATCATATATAATACATCAAAAAATACTGTACAGTAATACATAGATACAGTACTACAGTATTGTACAAAACAGTAGATCTATATTACATAAACAGCTCCTTCCCTTCTGATAATCATCCTATAGGTGACACCAATACATTAACCTGGAGACAAACATGGATGTAGGCTGGCTGACTAATCAGCTGTTTGTGCTGTGTAAACAAAACACCAAGACTTTAATACGACACAATTACAGTACTTATCTCGGACTGAATGTTGGAATTTATTAGTTTATGATATTTATCAAACCAGCACCAAATGAACCTAAATAATATGGGAATTATGGTGTAATTGCAGAGTGTCATTTTAAAGGGGTCGTGAGGGTGATGGGGTTATGTAGCGCGCGGGGACCCGTGGGGAGGGGAGTTTACCATAGAGTCTAGCCACCCAAGTGCTGTACCTCCCATCTTTGCCACATAGAATTCACTTCCCTCTCTCATTTATTCTTATTTTATAGTTTTATACTTTAATTTTTTATTTCTGTCACATTAAAAGCACTGAAATTATATTTCTACAACTTTTATGATTTATTATGTAGATAAACATAGCAGCAGCCAAAAATTATGAATATTTAACAACAAAATTTAACAAAAAGGTACAGTACTGGTAGTGAGGTACAGTACTGGTAGTAATAGATACTGTACCAAGGAGGTACAGTACTGGTAGTAATAGATACTGTACCAAGGATGTACAGTACTGGTAGTGAGGTACAGTACTGGTAGTAATAGATACTGTACCAAGGAGGTACAGTACTGGTAGTAATAGATACTGTACCAAGGATGTACAGTACTGGTAGTGAGGTACAGTACTGGTAGTGAGGTACAGTACTGGTAGTAATAGATACTGTACCAAGGAGGTACAGTACTGGTAGTGAGGTACAGTAAGTGAGGTACAGTACTGGTAGTGAGGTACAGTACTGGTAGTAATAGATACTGTACCAAGGAGGTACAGTACTGGTAGTGAGGTACAGTACTGGTAGTAATAGATACTGTACCAAGGAGGTACACAGTGACCTGGTAGTAATAGACAGTGAGGTAGTGAGGTACAGTACTGGTAGTAATAGATACAGTACCAGTACTGGTAGTGAGGTACACTGGTAGTACTGGTAGTAATGGTACTGGAGTGTGGGTAGGGGTACAGTACAGTACTGTAGTGAGTAGATACAGTACTGGTAGTGAGGTACAGTACTGGTAGTAATAGATACTGTACCAAGGAGTACAGTACTGGTAGTGAGGTACAGTACTGGTAGTAATAGATATTGTACCAAGGAGGTACAGTAAGTGAGGTACAGTACTGGTAGTAATAGATACGATACCAAGGAGGTACAGTACTGGTAGTGAGGTACAGTACTAGTAGTAATAGATATTGTACCAAGGAGGTACAGTACTGGTAGTGAGGTACAGTACTGGTAGTGAGGTACAGTACTGGTAGTGAGGTACAGTACTGGTAGTGAGGTACAGTACTGGTAGTAATAGATATTGTACCAAGGAATTTAGGAACATGAATTTTTATTTTACAAATTATAGCGACTCCTTATAGCGACTCCACTCAAATTTATAAAGTCCAAACACAGATCCTTAACCACATTTTGACCTCATATGCAGAGACAATGGGTAATAGGTCAGTCAGCATTTTCACGATAAAACTCCTTTTTTCTGGAACTGAAAAAGTAACGTGTTTAAAGCGTAAAGATAATTAATATAACCGATAAATTATTACATAAGCTAAAAGATACCTGTAATAACTAAGAGTCTCCCAGTGAGTCTTGTGTGGTGTTTGTAATAAGAGAAAACATCTTTATTGAAGGTTCAAAATATCTTTATAAATCTCATGTATAAACGCACTACAAAAGCTTACCTGTGAATGTAGTGTATGACGGAGTAGAGCATATTGCTGGAGTTCACGAACGCTCTGCACTGCTCGCTCAGCACTATCTGCTCTCTGAACAGTCTCTGTGTCAAGCTGAAGCTCAATAACCTGTAAGTACGTACACACAGTAATAAACTCTGAGGTGTTGTGTTCCCATCAACATTAATCCCTTGGGTATGGGGTCCCCTCTCTCTCTTGAATAAAATTGTCTGGCATCGGCAAAATATAATATTAAGCATGGCGTTCCCGTAGTGAAGGTGTTAATCTTGGTTTCCTGATCAAAATATGAACCCAAGTAAATAATGCCGGCCACACCCAGATTTTTAGTATGGGGGCCACAGCCTGTCCACCTCTTTTAATTTTCCTTCTGACACTTGATATTTCTTCAGACTACAGACAGCAGCTGACCAGAGGGGTTGTAGGGTGAGTGTCCCCCTGTGTCCCAGCGGTGATTACGTCCAGGGGGGGGTGGTCCTGGGGGTCTGGATCCCTTCTTGTCATAAGAAAATTTCAATGCAGTATTGTATTCATGCATAGTAAATAATAACTATTAACCTCAGAATATCTCCTAATATCAAGTGCACATGGCTTCAAAATGGCCTCAAAATGGCCATGATATTGGTCAGATTTTAAAAAAAATCGGGGGTGAACTTACAGTGCCCCCACCACCATGAGCTGGGTGGGCTCACTGTGCTTGCCATGTTCTCCCACCCACAATTTCTTGGACCCCCCCTTGATATTCCTTGATCTGCCCCTGAGAAATATACTACAGTACAGTATAACAGACATAACTCTATTAAACCACTTTACTGTTTATCATCATCTTATATTGCATCATTTTCATCAATATGTTTCATCCAATAATTATCTCTCTTGAGAGGAGTATTATTCTCCTGTAATTTCTATTATTTTGCAACACTTTACGACGTGAATCAAAGTTAACAATAAAAAGTGTTCACACTGTACTCAGCACCATAACCATCATGTTCACACTGTACTCCACACCATAACCATCATGTTCACACTGTACTCAGCACCATAACCATCATGTTCACTGTACTCAGCACTATAACCATCATGTTCACACTGTACTCAGCACCATAACCAACTTTGAATCTATACACCCAGATTACTCCTTCCATTAATAACACTTGGTCCACTAGACACTGCCAGTTTATATTGAAGTGTGTCAGCCTTCTCATAGTACTGTACAATAGACCTCTGCTCACATATTACTCACTATTATGTCTTCTTCATCGTCCATCTCTTACCAGAAACAAATTACTGATAAAAACCTCACACTATAACTGATCTTCCTCGTTAGTTAATCTTTAGTTCAGTCATTAGAATCTCCTAAGTGTCGTGAACTGAGACTGTGAGACACAAACTATGAACACTGCACTGTACCTAACTTGTGTAGTTTACATGTACGGTACTTACTGGTGTCGTGTTAGGCATCTGCTTGAACTTGGTACAAACAACAACAAACACCGGGAAGGAGAAGTTGCCAGAGTCTGACTGTGACTTCTCAGCATCTTCACACCTGTAATAATAAATTAAGTTATAAACCCAGTATCTGTTCCCCTCAGTGTATGTAAGGGTTCTCTTCCACAAAACTGTTCATAAATTAATCCTTTGTATATCTAGGGATGCCTGTACTGTATTTCTATGGTGTTTACATTTAAAAGATTTAAATTTTATGAAGTAGTATTAATTTTTGTGGTTTCAGTTGACAAGAGGTTTGCAACAGGTAATGGGAAATATTTGAAACAGTTTGCTACAAGGCAATAATGGTCCAAGACTGTAATGTTGGAGAAGAACACAGTGTTCATGTCATAGTAAATAGGGCACACAAGGGGTGGGAGAGCATCCAGCAATGCCCCAATATATGCAGCACACTTAGGTACTTTATGCTGGTAATTAACAGATTATTTTATTCAGTTGAGATAAATCTCTGCCCCCTGAAGGGTTAACAATCTAATTAAAGTGGGGGGGGGGGGACTACCAAACAGATAAATAAAAGTATGAATACGATAATTTATTTTATTGAATACTGTAAACAAATATGAATTAGAGGATTGAATGTACAAATTATAATCAATTAAGAAATCAATAAACCTCACGCAAAATCCTTTGAAATTTGATTCATTGCACACTTTGATGGCTGCTGCTGCTAAAATATACACATGGCTAACCTCTATTATACTGTACAGTTCAGTACGTTATACCATTAACAACTCTTATGAAAACACTGTAGTTCATTTCTTACAACAACATTATGACTAAGACAATAAGGATCACAACCCCAACTCTACTGTGTTCATCACACATGTGTGAGATGAGGCTTCCAGATATATCAACACTCTCAAGTGTGGCAGAGCCATCTATGTGCCATCCAGACCAGCACGTTGTTCCTCCACCAGACACTGCCCTCTGAAGGTAGACAGGGCCTCTGAACATGACTGTACACACACAGAGCTGTAGGAGTCTTACATACCTACAAATCCTCAACATCCAGCCATTACGAGGAAACCAGTTGAGAACATGCTGAAGAATGTGCTCCTGGAGGAGAGAAACACACACAAAACGTCCGCCCACTCGCAGCACTCTGCTCACCTCCTAGTTAGAACAAATATACAGTATAATGTACAGTTCTATTTGTAAAACAATTACCCCACTGGTGCAAAAACACACCAACAGGTTGGAAATAATATAAGATAATATAAGGATGAATAAAAATAACACAAAATTTCCCTGTGCTATATGGTATAGTTTCTGCAAACAAACTTGTATGGCTGGCAGTAGAGAACAGTGGTGCAGACAGACAGACAGGTGGAAATCAACACCGTATCTACCGAGCTTATGTAGAGGTGACATGATACTATAAGAAAATGATAACTGTTTGTGTGAAGCTGGTGATACACTTAACAAGCTGCAGTACCCATGCTGGGCCAGAGAGAACCTCCAGTCAGTCGTCATAACAAAGAGTTAAGAGTAACTGTACGCCGAGAACGAATAGTTATAAAGGAGCAGAACTCACCACTTTTAATATCTTATTTGTTTAATGCCAAACAATTTTATTTAGATCAGAGGCGACCACGTACACAAGGAGTTAATAAAATGTGTACAATACTGTAATGAAAATATAATAAATAAGAAAAAGTTTGAGTAAGTTATTAATGTGGCTTGTTAAGAGCATGAGCAGGACACCTTCAGGGAGTTGAATTTACTTCACATGACCTTCATGACTTGCCTCGCACGTCAGAGAAGCAGATGAAAAGTTTTATGTACTGTTTATAGCGGCATCAAGCCTTCAGCCACAATAGTTCTCGGTAAATGAAGTAATATCAAGTGTCAGAGGCTCGACCGTACACCACATCAGCCAAACTTTATGGCTCCTCAAATTATATTAACTTTCTCTCCTCACACAACCTTCTGAACTTTGATCACCCACCACAAGTACAGTATGGCTGCCCTAATGAACACATATACAGTATAACAACATTTACACTTATTATTAAACTCTGTTGGTCTTTATTCCAACTCTTGACATTTGCTCACAACCAGTACAGTACTTTCTCACCCCACCCAGGTCTTCCTCACCCCTTCCAGGTCACTTACAGCAAAGTATTTGTTGACAAAAGACACGACTTCAGAGGAACCATCTGTCATAAGGGCATCAAGTGTGGCTTTGTCCAGTACACACGTAAATTCTTCATTCTCAAACGACAATGAAGTAATGTCCATCTGCAGCCACTTCATATCTGGCAAGCCTGAGGAATATTTCTCTTGCATCTGCTTGATAACAATCTCACTGTTGTCCACATTTGTAATAAACCTGAAACAAAACAGCAAGTATTATCTTCTGCAGGAACAAGTGGTGGTTTATTGTCTCAACCTCCCCAGTACAGTAGTCACTCTTAACCTCTCTAGTACAGTACAGTATCTCTCAGTCTGTCTACTTGTTACAGTATACAGAATAAACAGCAGACACATGAGAGTGTTGGTGGCAGGGGAGGGAGACCTGCACACTGTAATTATACTGAGCCTTCAGTACAGATGGAGATACTTTACTGTACCGTAGTCTGTAATGTAATCTGTTTAAAAAAGAACTTCAAGTACAAAGGAATCCTTGGGCAGTGACAGATGCCACCCCCACACCTTTGTGTTGTCTGCCCGGAGAGCTTGCCAGACGCTCTCCACTCCTAACACATTATGGCCCAGAGGTTCTCGATAGGGTTTAGGTCACAACCCTCTAATGGCCAATTTAACACCTCTATTTCTGGGTGTTGATGAAGCATGTTCTGAATGACCTAGCAGGTGTGGTTACTGGTCTTGAACTAACACCACTGTTTGAGGTGCAGGGACGGCCATGCAGCACGTACTGTACCCGGTAAATGTCCATTATTATTAACCAGTTCACCCTGTAATAAAGTCATGTTTTATACAGTGAATAATATTATGTTTTAGAAGAAAAAAATTGAAAATTCAGTTTAGACAAAATTCCCCCCAAAAGCCAGCGTGAGTCGTGCTAAAAAGCATCAGTGCCAGCGAGTGCCTCTGGTGCCAAAAGCCAATCACAGCGACCCGTGAACATGACATCATAGGCACAGCTGAGACGATTGGCCGCGACAAGTGGCGTACCCTGACACAGAGACGAGTGTGGCCCTTTATAAATCAGTCTGATTTTGGTTGAGGCAGTGAAGATGCCTGACAGGCCCACTGAAGGGGGGGCCAGGAGGGCCATTTAGCCCGGGCTTCAAGCTGACATTATTGTTTATTTTATTTATTTTTATGTGTATGCAGTATACCCTAATTATTAATTAATTTATTTATTTTGCATTGGATAAGTTTTGCAACTCCAGTCCACAACCCGAAAAAGTTAGTAGTTACTGTTACTGACCAACAAGTCGACAACCATCTTCCTCCCAGAGGTTTAAAAGATGAGCTTAGTTGGTTGTGCCGTTCTGGTGGATGGTGCCAGTAGCCAGTGGCGGTAACTAAGCAGGTTTGAATCACTGCAACTAACTTGTACCCTTTTGGGGTTTCTTTGGCAGGTCAACAGTCTGAATAATGAAGATTTACTTTCAGAAGCTGAACAATTTCAGCAACAGTACAGCAATGAAATCTCAAAAGATCTCAGTAAAGAGCTCATCTTCCTCAAATGAATATATTCAACAAACTTTAAATTGGAATACAAACTAAAGGAATTGCTCAAAGAAATACTTGATCTTAAACTCTGTGGCTTCAGGTGAACACACTTTCAATGTTTTGGTGCAGGTAACGAATTATCACAGGTCCACTATGGGACACAAATGTTTGAATGGGTTGACCAGGATGAACATCAAGTGTGACACTGCAATAAAGCTCAATTACCCACATTATCAGAGCCTTGACAGAGAAGGAGGCAAGAAAAGCTCTAATCAATCAATAAAATAGTCATATTATGTCTCATTTTTATTTGGTGCCTAGGGGCAGTAGATTAACAATAATTAGTTAGTACTGTGAGAAATGTGGTCCCTTTGATTAGCCTGGAGGGTAGGTTTTGAAGATTACTTTATGTCATTCTTAATAATGTTTATTAAATAAATGAAGAAAGGTTAAGTGTCATCAATTAATCCTCCCCTGTACTGAACTGAACTGAACTGAACTGTACTGAACTGAACTGAACTGAACTGTGCTGAACTGTACTGAACTGAACTGTACTGAACTGAACTGTACTGAACTGAACTGTACTGTACTTAGTAGATGTTTAATCATAAATGACTTTGTGTTATGTAGTGATAGAGTGAGTCATGAGTAACTACCCAGCTATCACAAAATTCCCCAAGTGTCCCAGTTATTGTACGTTATCACTATTCCACAGTTTACTCTCTCTCTCTCTCTCTCTCTCTCTCTCTCTCTCTCCTCGGAGGTAAGTGACCCTTCAGGGGGGTGACTGTATACCACTCTCCTCTTGCTCTGTGCCATCCCCCTTTTTCCTCCTCACACTTTCACTCTCTCTCTCTCTCTACAAAAGAAAGATTAGGCAGAACAGAAAGAATAAACAAATAAGTGAGAAAAGGAGAAATGATGTAAAAGTAAAAATAAGAGAAGTACGTGTACAGGCAATCCTCGAGCCACTAACAGGTTACGTTTCTGGACCCTGTTCATAAGTCAGAACAGTGTTAATGCCACAGCTTAAATTAGGTTAAAGCACAATCCTGCCTATACAAAACAACAATAATATCACATACATCACAAATTATGTAAATACTGTAAATAAATTGATGTTAAACAATATAGAATAATAAAAATAATGTAAATAATGGCATTCATAACTCGGGGACTGCCTGTAAAGATAAAGTATGTAAATATTACATGAGACAAACCTAAGTACAGTACAGTACTGTACTGTACTGAACTGTACTGTACTGAACTGTACTGTATACTTCTGGTATAACTTACTTGTATCCAACTTTGCATAAGTCAGCACTAATAGTTGAGCTGCCACAACCCGGCACAAGAATCTTATCTTTAGTCCGGATGTACTTGTGAAGTATTCCACACAACTCTGGATACTCCCCATACCTGGCCAAGTAAAAGGTCGTCACACACATTATTGACAAATACTGTATCATAATAGTCACTTGTTTCTTTAGGTGACTATACATTTTTTTCACTATAAAAGTTTATGTAATGTCCCACAATACAAACAATTAACAGGACTATGAACCTAAACTTCACGTTTACTTAATAACCACATCAATATCTTCTGGGTAAAACTCTGCAACAAAGACTCATGATAGCCAACAACTTTTGGACAATTTTCTCAACAATAGAGGAAACATTCTTTACTTGTACATTATCCCCAAAAGGTGGAGAAATTGTATGTTTTTTTGTTTTCGTTCTAAACACAAATCTAAGTAGACACAACAGTTCCGTGTCCATAACATGTTGGCGACCTTGTCCACAGGCTGTGTGGCTGTGACATAACATTGTGGCGACCTTGTCCACAGGCTGTGTGGCTGTGACATAACATTGTGGCGACCTTGTCCACAGGCTGTGTGGCTGTGACATACCATTGTGGCGACCTTGTCCACAGGCTGTGTGGCTGTGACATAACATTCTTTGAGAACAGAATCCATTTCATTCAGCATTTTACTTTTTCTTTTTCGTTTATCCTCTTCACCACTGATCGGCTCATTAGCCGCCCGGGCGATCGGTCACGTCTCTGTTACTCACCGTTGGCAAGTACTGTACATGCATTATAATGGAGCCAGTACTTGCCAACAGTGTAACATAAACCTAACCTACCGCCCAAGAGGCTCCCAGGCAGATCATTGGTTATGTTATGTTAGCATCAGAAACGACGGTCAGATCCGGTCGAATCACAACAAAAACCACAGAAAAAACGTATTTTTTATGGGAAAATTTAAACCTGGCTACTATCATAAATTGACCTAACCAGGTTTATCAGTACATAAAACAAAGGTTAATATATAGGACTAACCCGCCAGGGCTGCATAGCGCCGATGTGGCCGTATCATCTCACGTCCAGAAAATGCCTCAAATTTCACCATATCATAGTAAGTTCTTTCTGTTTAATATACCGGGGAAGTTAGGTAAGGTTAGGTCTGTTCTTCATACCCACAAATGTTAAGTAGTGTTTTTTTTTTTTAATATTAATTTTTAACATATTTCCACAAACTACAACAGTGTCCACTATAACAATGAAAATCTGGCGTTTTTATAATTGTTTTCAATAAATTTCGCTCACGGGTTAGTCCTATATAATTACCAAAACTAAAACTACATAATGACACATATGTAAATGTCCAGTTTTTTATTTATTTAGGTTGTTTGAGACTCGTGTTGCCAACAATGGTCATACTTACCATTCGAATACTTTATCACCTCTTTTAGAGAAGAAAGTATTCCAGTACTGCTTGGAACTAAACTCCTGGACATTCTTTGGTATTAAACTCATTCTGCTACAGTAGTTTATAAGGTTAACGAGGGAGACAGTTTAAAGGCCACTCATGTGTGTTTACATCACCGAGTCACTGTTGCCACAAACCTTACTTCACTACTAACCTATTTATTTAATTATTTAATAAGAATATACTTATCTGCAATCAATAAAATAGAATCTCACTTTGCCAAAAATACAACAGGATTATCAGATTATAACTAATATGTTTAAATTTGGTTTATTCCGATCATTGTCTCATATTATTGTGATAACATAGTGACTTTGTTCCTAAATCATGCCAAAAATTTTGTTGTGACTACAAGAAGATTGTACAACTAAAGGCCAGAGAAGGAATGTGTCACCGGAGACGATATAACTTGAGATGGTGAGAACAGATATTATCAAGTTAAGTTTACATGAATACTTTTTTACTTTTATTCTCTTCACCACTGGTCGGCTCGTTAGCCGCTTGGGCGATCGGTCACGTCTCTGCTACCTACTGTTGGCAAGTACTGGGCATGCACCGGCTCCTGAATGTACCTGAACCTGCTCCAGTGTTGGTCAAGTCTTGTCTTGAAAGAGCTCACACTCGGTGCCGTCACAACACTCTCTGGTAGATTGTTCCAAGAGTTCACAACCCTCACTCCGAAAAAGTTTACCCTCACAGTTTTCTGGACTTGCGGCTTCTTCAATCTTGAGCTGTGACCCCTTGTGGGGCGAGCGTCCGCCAGCTCCAAGTAAGGACACTCAACTGAGTAGTGCCCCTTGAGATGCTTATACACCTCAATTAGGTCCCCCCTTGCCCGCCTGTAGTATAAGCTAGGCAAGTTCAGGCGCTCCAATCTCTCAGGGTAGTTGAGGTGCCGAAGTGCAGGCACCAGTCTGGTGGCCCTCCTTTGAACATTTTCAACCAACTGACAGTCCCTAGCATATCCTGCCTATCACCTAACAGATCATTTCAAAGAAAACAACATAAATCATTATGAATGTAGTGTACGTACTGTATCATATTACACATGCAATATATAATGGTTGCCCCTCGTGTAACTAGGATGGCCGGCCCTAGAGCCACCTAGGCATGAATTTGTTTAAGGTGTAGAAGCTGTCGCCAACACAACAACCACACCCTAAGTTAACGAGCTGCATGACCCAGTGTCAATGAATAGTCATTGAAGACCGGACTCGCCAACTGCACTGGCTAACCATTATCCCGGAATATGATCCACAAATCAATTAACATACAGGTTCCCAATAACTGCAAATGGCGTAAAGAAACTTGCCCATAGTTTCACCCTGCCTGGGGATCGAACCCGGGTCGAGCATGCTGACCATTACACCACAGGTCACCAATTACACATGTATATGCATATAACTGTATTGTGACTTAATCAAAATATGATAATTAATCAATTGACAATGTCAAGTACTTTTATCGCTCCCAGTAAGAGGTGGCAGTATATACAATTGTCTGCTTATGATTAATGACTGCAGTTCCAGGAATGAGAGTTTGAAGATATGATTGTCGTAGAACAAGAAACTGAACAAAATGGGTTTTATAAGATGGTTGTTTTGATTTTGAAGATGGGTGCCAACACAATGAAGTACTGTAAATTGTGTCAGTGTATATTATGCCTATGGAAGCTTGATGTTTTGAGTCACTTAGAGGCAAAACTATTGATAATATCAGATTCGAGTGGGGGTCATTATTAATTCCAAGATGGTCGCTGTTAGAGGCAAGACACAGCTGAGATCGTCCTCAAAGGGCTAGAGCTTACATCATCGTCCTTAAAGGGCTAGAGCTTACATCATGGTCACCAAAGGGCTAGAGCTTACATCATGGTCACCAAAGGGCTAGAGCTTACATCATCGTCCTCAAAGGGCTAGAGCTTACATCATGGTCACCAAAGGGCTAGAGCTTACATCATGGTCACCAAAGCTCTGTAAGGTGTGGATGATACAAACAACCTTTAAGTGTACAGTATAGTTCCTACATAAAATGACAAATATGGACATAAACCTTACTTACTAGGGAGTAACAAGAGACATCCAGAAGCACACTTTACCAGAACTCTCACTCCTAACTCATAATAGAGTTAACACAGGATGATAAGTTACCATCACTCGTCTGTCTGTAGCTCTTGATAGTGTGTCAGGTGAAAAATATATTGTACAGTAATTCTAAATTTATCTCACTATCACAGATCAGACAACAAATACAAGAACATTAATTACATATGTCCAGAAGTAATCACGTTGTTCACCTGGTTTTTAGTTTTAGTTTAAAAAATTTATTGACAAAGCTTGTAGTACAGTTTGCCTATTGTGAGTAATTCAGTCAGGTCTTGCCTCTGAGGGTGGTATCACTTCTCACTGCCACGCAGGACAGAGGTTCATACACAAAGAAATACAATATATTCATTAACAGCTATATAAATATAGAGGTCAGATTCATGTGGGTAATGTCACTGTTCACTGCCATGCAGGACAGAGGTTCGTACACAAAGAAATGCATCATATTGATGATGAAGACAGTAGTCACGTTGTTCACGTGATGGTGAAGACAGTAGTCATAATGTTCACGTGATGGTGAAGACATTCGTCATGTTGTTCACGTGATGGATGAAGACAGTAGTCATGATGTTCACGTGATGGATGAAGACAGTCGTCATGTTGTTCACGTGATGGAAGAAGAGTGTTATCCACACCGTCAGTGAGAACCTTCCTCCTGGATGCGAGAGAGGGCCCGTAATCTTCTCTGGGAGTCAGCAATATCTTGTACCACCGCAGGCGAGGAGTGACATCTCCTCAAGGTCAGACTCTCACTCACGACAGTTTTATCTGTATTGACATTTGTTACACTAAGGTCCACGTCTTCCATAATGTATGTGTCTGTCTTATCTCCTTCTATGTCTGCCTCTGTCACCTGACCTCCCTCTTCGTCTGCCACGTTGTCTTCCTCTTCCATCTCCATCATATTCTCCCCTGTATCTTCCACAGATCTTCTCATCCCGGGACTTCCGTCGATGTTTCCCATTCCATGTCCCAGTTCAGGGTCGGGGTGGTGGTCGAGGTGGGGATGCAGTCCCAGTGTCCTGAGCAGCTTCTTGCCTAAGTGGGTGCGAGTGAGGCAGCACAACACCGCCAGCACCAACAACCACCCCACCGGCAGACTCACCAACAAGATGGCCTCCCAGGACCAGAAGAACATTGCTGCCGGGAAAAAATGGAAGGTTATACAATAGAAAAATACTCCTTCATCTGTGTAAATCTCACGTACGTCCCAGTCTGGATTATTGTATACAGGCAAGGAAACCCGACCTCCAGCAAGACTTAACACCCCAAGAGATGGTGCAACACAGAGCCATTAAGATGATTCCTGAACTATGTCATCCCAATTATCAAAGTAGACTGAGGGCCTTAGGACTAACAGCCCTTCAGACAAGCCACACTAGGGCAGATCTCACTGGTCCCGCACCACCAACACGAGGGATACAAACTCACCAAGTTATCAGGCAGAAAGAATATAAGGAAGTAATTCTTCACACACACACACAGGATGGTAGACCTAAAGATCAGTCTACCAGCCCAAGCTGTGGAATCAAGAACAATATTGGGCTTCAAAAGAGCCCTTGACAAGACCACCAAGAACAATGAAGGGATCCCACACAGATCATTAATGGCCTCCTTCCCTCGGCCTGGCCATCTCTAATGGTTAAACAATTATTTTTTACTCGTTTATATACATTACTGTGTTTATATGATGAAGCTTTATCTTGTCTACTAAGCTGTACTGTACTTACAATTATCGTGTGAACACTTGAGGCAGGGGGTGTACAGAGAGACGGTGGCTGTAGTTACGTTATATCTCTCACGCGTCACTCCAAGGTTTACACTGTCGGCTCCCAGTGTTACTTCTGTTTCATGGACGACACTGTGTCTCAGGTTCTTATCTTCAGTGTTATGTTTGTGCAGTGTCTTGGCAGTGGGTGGGGGCGGGAGGGTGGAGGAGGGCTGTGTGTGGGCGGGCTTGTGGGAGGAAGTAACTGTGAAAGCAAAGTAACCAGTTTTGTTTGTAGTGGTGAAGGAGAGAAGAGGTGTTTGGGTGTTCTCACTGAGGCTTGTGTGAGTAGACTCAGCATTGACCCGGACCACACCCTGAGTAGACAATGGTGACTTTACATTCAGTTTAATCGTAAATTGACTGGGTAAAATCTTCAACAAAGAGGAGAGCATCTTACTTTCTTGCTGTAACATAGCTTGTGGGGATAAATCCTCATGTTTAAGATAGTTAATGTGATTTGCACTGTTACTCTCCTTGTGTGTAGATGATGATAAAATATAATTAGGCTGTATGTTAAGTATATTGACAGGTTGTGGAGGATGAGGGTGACGTGAGAGGGCGAGCGTTAGTGTTGGCAGCAGCAGCACCACCACCACCCACCTCATCCTTGTCTGTAATGTATAAGGAAAACAAAAATAAACAGATTAGTGAATAAAAAGAAGAAGATAGAATAGAATATATAAATAAACTGATGAAAGACTAATGAGATGATTCAAAGTTGTTGACAAGTTGTTTTTTAAAGGATAATACTACTCAATAAGGCTGTAACCCACGAAGGAATAACGAACAGATTAAAGTAAATGTATGACCTCAATATTTTCCTGTTGTAGAAGATAAGATTATTTGTTGATGTTATTGTTATAAGGTAGGTCAGTCATTAGGTAGGTCAGTCACTAGGTAGGTCAGTCATTAGGTAGGTCAGTCATTAGGTAGGTCAGTCATTAGGTAGGTCAGTCACTAGGTAGGTCAGTCACCAGGCAGGTCAGTCATTAGGTAGGTCAGTCACTAGATAGGTCAGTCATTAGGTAGGTCAGTCACTAGATAGGTCAGTCATTAGGTAGGTCAGTCACTAGATAGGTCAGTCATTAGGTAGGTCAGTCATTAGGTAGGTCAGTCATTAGGTAGGTCAGTCACTAGGTAGGTCAGTCATTAGGTAGGTCAGTCACTAGGTAGGTCAGTCATTAGGTAGGTCAGTCACTAGGTAGGTCAGTCATTAGGTAGGTCAGTCATTAGGTAGGTCAGTCACTAGGTAGGTCAGTCATTAGTCAGGTCAGTCACTAGGTAGGTCAGTCTTAAACATAACATTTGTCACAGGTGAGTCTTAAACACAACATTTGTCACAGGTGAGTCTTAAACATAACATTTGTCACAGGTGAGTCTTAAACACAACATTTGTCACAGGTGAGTCTTAAACATAACATTTGTCACAGGTGAGTCTTAAACATAACATTTGTCACAGGTGAGTCTTAAACACAACATTTGTCACAGGTGAGTCTTAAACACAACATTTGTCACAGGTGAGTCTTAAACATAACATTTGTCACAGGTGAGTCTTAAACACAACATTTGTCACAGGTGAGTCTTAAACACAACATTTGTCACAGGTGAGTCTTAAACACAACATTTGTCACAGGTGAGTCTTAAACATAACATTTGTCACAGGTGAGTCTTAAACACAACATTTGTCACAGGTGAGTCTTAAACAACAACATTTGTCACAGGTGAGTCTTAAACATAACATTTGTCACAGGTGAGTCTTAAACACAACATTTGTCACAGGTGAGTCTTAAACACAACATTTGTGAGTCTTAAACATAACATTTGTCACAGGTGAGTCAACATTTGTCACAGGTGAGTCTTAAACACAACATTTGTCACAGGTGAGTCTTAAACACAACATTTGTCAACAGGTGAGTCTTAAACACAACATTTGTCACAGGTGAGTCTTAAACACAACATTTGTCACAGGTGAGTCTTAAACACAACATTTGTCACAGGTGAGTCTTAAACACAACATTTGTCACAGGTGAGTCTTAAACACAACATTTGTCACAGGTGAGTCTTAACATTTGTCACAGGTGAGTCTTAAACACAACATTTGTCACAGGTGAGTCTTAAACATAACATTTGTCACAGGTGAGTCTTAAACATAACATTTGTCACAGGTGAGTCTTAAACACAACATTTGCCACAGGTGAGTCAGACATAATTTGTGTTTTCTTTCTCTAGACTTACCTTTACTATGTGGTGAGAGAGAGAGAGTCTTCCAGAGTTGACGGTGTGTGTGTGTCCTGATCACCAAAATGGACGTTAATTTCACTCCCTACTGTCCTACACTAAAAAATAAGAACAGATGCCTTTGAGTGTAATGTATATATTTGTGTGTGTTTGCGTGTGTGTGTGTGTATGAATTTACTGAATTTATATATTTACGTCTGTATGAATGTATGTCTGTGAGGCAGCAGCATTGTTATTGGTTGTGGAGGGACGGTGTGTGTTGGTGGTGTGGGTACGGGGCAGCTTTGAGTTGGTCCACACTTGGTTTAAGGAGTTATTATCTCTTCATATCTCTCGTTCCCATCCTTATCAATCACCTCGCCCTACCAGGTGGTCCAAACGCACAACACAGGCACTAGCATTTCCTCAACTTGTCAAGTGATAAACATTTTTTTTTACTGGTTAAAGTGGATTTGTACTATTTTTCTAATTTGGTGTTTTGTTGACTTTACGACAAATGTAGAAAAGTGTTTATAAATAGTTCAATTACTTTTATAGTTCAGTGTTGACATTCAGGCGCTGACGAGTAAAATATAACTAACAGAGTCTTGTTAATTTTCACCTATGGCGTTGTTATATTTGAGATCATCTGTAGTCCCACCCCCCGGCCAGTCTATTTCACCTTATGATTTTCAGCTTTACGGATTTGTACCAAATAAACCTCACGTCTACAGGCTCCCAGCTTAGCGGCTCCTGTGATACGTTGATAGCTTGACACCAACTGTCTAGAGGCGGGTTGGCGGCTTAATGGCTTGTGCTGGCAGACTGTTCCACAGGCTCTGTGTAGAAGTATTTCTTTATATTCATTTTTTCATGATAACTTGGTGAGCTTGAAGTTGTCTCCTTGCGTTAGTGACCTGAGTTTACGTTAATATATACGAATTAGAGACGATGAAGGTATCCGTCAGTGCTGGAAAGAGCACTACCATTCCCTGCTCAACCGAAACACCGATGTGGATGTCTGACTACCCAGCAGGTCCCTCAGCATCCAGAGTTGACCCACCTCAGCTATCCCCATCCCTAGATAAGGTAGCTACTGCCATCAAACAGATGAAAACTAACAAAGCCTCAGGGCTGATGGAATCCCAGCCGAGGTGTATAAAGCAGGACTTCTGCTTACCAGCCATCTCCACTCTCTCCTGGAGAATATATGGGAAAAGCAGGAAATCCCCCAAGCTCTTAAAGACGCCTCCATCGTCAATATTTATAAGAACAGGGAGACCGGTCAGACTGTGGCAACTACCGTGGGATCTCGCTGCTGTCCGTAGCTGGCAAGATTATCGCCCAAGTTCTCCTAAACAGACTTCTTCCTGAAGCCGAAAACTTCCTCCCAGAATCTCAATGTGGCTTTAGACCATCACGTGGTACCACTGAAATGATCTCTACTGCCCGGCAGTGTCCTGCACAACGGCACCCAGTCTGAGTTCTTCCCCATCCAAACGGGGATTAAACAAGGGTATGTACTGGCACCAACTCTCTTTTCCGTCTTCTTGGCTGCCTTCCTTACTCGTGCCAGTGCCAGTTTAGCCAGCGGGAAGGACATAAAGTACCGGATGAAGGGTCTTTTCAATATGACAACTCCAGGCAGGAATAAAGGTGTCGGCAGCTTCCATTACTGAACTTCAGTATGCAGACGACCTCACCCTTGTCGCTGACACTGAATGCGACCTAGAGGAGATCCTGAACACCTACGCAGATGCGTATGCACACTTCGGCCTTGAGGCCTGCCCCTGGTTCAGCCACACCTCCACCATCCATCCAACTTAACGGTACTACCCTCTCTAATGTTACCTACTTCCGGTATCACGGCTTCCACCTGCCCACCACCGCGTAACATCGATGAAGAGATTCAGCATCGGATCAGATGTGCACCTCAAGCCTTTGCCAGTGGTCCTCTCCACCCTGCTATATGGCAGCGAGACATGGGTTACATGCAGGAGGCACCTCAAGGCACTGGGAAGACAAGAGAACAAATGCCAGTATTCTTGCTGACACCAACTGTAGGAGCATTGAGGCTACCATTATCCATGAACAACTACGCTGGACTGGCCATGTTACCCGCATGGACGACAGTAGACTGCCAAAGCAGCTACTTTACAGTCACCTAATGAATAGTAAACGTAACGCTGGCTGGCAACTGAAAAGGTATAAGGATAGTCTTAAGACAAACCTGAAATAGTGCCAAATCGACCCCCTCACCTGGGAGACGATTACTCCACACCGTAACGCTTGGAGAGCGCCACACAAGAAGGTGTCAATACTTTCGAGTTAACCCGACTGCATAACGAGGTAGACAAGCGCCAACGCCGGAAAGACGCTGCCGCCGCCCCTCCCGCACTAGATGTAGCCCTCCACATGTGCAACCTCTGTGATCGACCCTGCCGGTCCTCTTCACCACTGATCGGCTCGTTAGCCGCCGCTTGGGCGATTGGTCACATCTCTGTTAGGCACTGTTGACAAGTACTGGGCAGGCCTATACAGTATATTGTTCACGCTGAACCAATATTGAATAAAGATCTATTCAGGCCAGTGTTACAGCGAGATCTCCTTTATTGTACAGTATGTGACCTAAGAAAGAGAAAATAGACACATAAGAAAGAGAACTTTGGCTACTGGCCACATACGCCATGCTACAAGTTCATGCAATGCCAGCTCAGCGTATTATGAAATTGCATAACATAGGCTGGCTGTCACTAGTGCATGTGTAACGAGAATCTTGGATCAATGGAAAACTTTGGATTTGTACTTCCAGTTAGCTCATACCGAGGATAGGTCTTCTGATTATATTTTGTACAGGGAACTTTCTAATCCATACACACATATCTCTACTTTCAGTTCTTGGAAAACATTCTTTCAATGACAGACAAACTGAATGTTATCTTCCAAAGCCCACATGCAATGATTCATTATGTAGTCAAGGACTGCAATCTGCTGCATATTCAGATCCTCAGCTGCTTCTTGAAGCCCTCAGTTTTAAAAGCACCCATGCAAGAAGTAATTAGTATTAACCCTAAAGACCCAAGCAATCACCTTCCTGCACATCAAATATACTGTATGGTGGTATCAAATTTGCCAAGTTGCCTAAGAGTACTGCTAATCAGAGGGCTGATCAGGACACAGGGTAGATGTATGAGCGCTCCTTCCGGTTTCTTTTATAGAATTAGCTGTACAGTTTACCATATTTCAAAGTTAAATAATATGTTTCTTTCATATAAAAGTTAGTTATATTATTTTCATTTCAAATAACTACAATAGAACTTGTTTTCAAGTATATAAAGTTTTATGATGTACTAAAAGAGTTCATATAAACTTTAGTGCTTAGGAAAGTTAGGATATGTCAGTTTGTCAAATGAATAAAATCTTCTAATTGTTGTGTGATGTTATAGTCATGTCATATATATATATATATATATATTTAATTTCACATTTATCCTTATGTCTTATACTAAAGCCCTTTACAGGTATTTCTTTTTTATTTATGTATGCGTAATTGTGTATCTACCAATTATCTTATGTTTACTTATTCAGCTTTAATAATACATGTATTCAGAAACGCATTTTACATTATTAGAAATTTCCTTCACAAGTCATTAAGAGGCAAAAGAGATCTGGTAACACTGCTCCAGGCTGAGTTGCAGCAGTGTTACCAGTGTAGCGGAAAAAGCGCCAATTTAATGGTTTGGGCATGAACACGTACAGAACATACTGGGCATGAACACGTACAGAACATACTGGGCATGAACACGTACAGAACATACTGGGCATGAACACGTACAGAACATACTGGGCATGAACACGTACAGAACATACTGGGCATGAACACGTACAGAACATACTGGGCATGAACACGTACAGAACATACTGGTGAGAGGGTAGGGGGACACTCATTGACTCATGCTTCAGATGTTGTCATAACCAGCTGAATATGACAGTGGTGTTAATAATGGTGTCTACTGGATGATGTCAATGTTATCAGCCGTGCAAGCTTAAGTTCTTAGGGCTCTTCATTGTCAGTAAGCGAACGTTATTGTAAAAGGAATAACTTTTGAGTGATATTAGAGGTAAATGAACTATGTTATACACACATATATGCAGACAAGATCATTATAGTACAGTATTGCCTAGGATGAAGTGAATTTCTATCATCTCTAAGGCTACCGTATTCTCCTTCTCAGAACCATGTTTGAGTCACGGGTGAAGAATTAAGAATAGAGGGGTTATAATGCACATTGCTTTGGATAAATAAGGGTAGGAATTCATATTATTTTAAGAACTGACTTGGCTTCCCTCCAGTGGCTACACAGTGCAACAGGGGACCAGCCGTTTACAGTTTCCTGTGTTGCAGAATTCCACAATTCTACAAGAAATATTACACCATGTGTGGGGGGCATTAATACCGTTGTTAGGACATTGGTTTACGTTAACAAAAAAAAAGGTAAAGTAAACCATATCATATTTAAAGGTAATTCATTGATTATGTAGTCTTTTAGGAAAGTTAGCGCCCACAGCCCTGGCTGGCGGCGGTAAGTGAGGACACCTCCCACCACTACCTCACCCCCAGTCCACCACCGCTGCCTCACCCCCAGTCCCCCACCGCTGCCTCACCCCCAGTCCACCACCGCTACTGTCAAGTTTTGAAAACATTGGCCCAATATTACATTGGGCGGGACGCTACGACTCCTACACAATGTAGTGAACTTGTACAGTAATTGTAAATAACTTTCACCACGTGTAGCCCAGCCCACATTGTCTTCCCCAGGTGACAAAACATCAAACTTTTCAATCAAAACAACAAACTTTGTGACAGTTTATAACTTAACATTTAATTTTGGAATTTTTGTTGTCACTGTGTTGGTGAAGAACACACATGACAGTGTAACACAATGTTTGTGAGTGGTGTAGTGATCATTAACTAATAATGAAATCAAGGAATAAACTATCATTGACCTTGAACAGTGCAAAAGATAAAGTTTGTCATGTGAGAAGTTTTGAAGAGACTACGTGTACTGTATTAGTAACTTAGTCATGGCTGGTCAAAACTTGGACAAGTTACTTGCTAATATTAATTTTCACAAGTACTGGAACAGTATATTTGTGGTGGGCCAGAGAGAGGTGTGTCGGTGCTTCCTCTGGCTCTACCACCACCACCACGGCCCCAACCCTCCCTACGTCGGCCAGTGTCTGCGAGCGACACCCCGTGGAATGAACAGAATTGGGGCTATAGAAAGAGCAGTCTTTGACAGAGGTGACAGCCCTACCAAAATGGATATTCCCCTCCTGTACAGACTCCTCCAGCACATCTGTAACCTTGCTGAAGACACACAACCAACATCTATATGGAATTGTCCCACTACACCAGAGGAGCAGCTCAGCCTGGAACACACGCTCTACAAGATAAAGGAAAAGAGAAATAAATTAAGTCATAAACCAATGACTTATGTGCACATGACTGAAGAAGATCTGGAGACTTATCTGGATGAATTGTGTGACCTCTTGTGCCGGGTGATACGAGAGGCAGGTTTACGCACTGGCCGGACGCTACGGCAGATAAATGATACCACGGACAAAATCAAGGATGATTGTTCTCATATAAGAACTATGAGGCCGTCCTTTGGCATCTCACCACAAAAGTTTACTGTGTTAGCCAAACAAGAATTAGAGGAGCAGAGAAGAACCATTATAGACTTGGTTGGCACCTTTGTTATGCCTGTAATAAAACGCTCGGTTAACACAACAGGTATGGCACAAGCAGAGGATGTATCTGCTGATCAGTTGCTGAAGTGGCGGTGTGTGGATGGGAAGGTGCCTAAGGTGATCCTGATGCGAGGCGACACAGGGGCAGGCAAAACCTACCTTTGTCAGTGAGTAGACTGTACTGTACACTCTGGGTAAAGCTTGGAGGCAAATCTATTGGGCACAGGATATAGGTGCAGCAGCTGTATGTGAAACGTCTATGTCTAATGGTAGCTATGGCAGCCTAATGTACATGTGTGGTGGATAGACTACAGTACAATGATAGGTGTTATGATGGCCTTCTTTCTGACTAGACTAGACTAGACTAGACTAACCTAACCTAACCTAACCTAACCTAACCTAACCTAACCTAACCTAACCTACCCTAACCTAACCTAACCTACCCTACCCTACCCTACCCTACCCTACCCTACCCTACCCTACCCTACCCTACCCTACCCTACCCTACCCTACCCTACCCTACCCTTCCCTTTAACACAGTCCGCCAATACAGCTACCGTACCTATATTCACTACAAATTTATTATCCTATTGAATTTGGCATTAACTTTAATACTGTACTGTATATATACTAGTACTGTATTGTATTAATTTTTATAACTATGCATGCAACTCTATTTTGAATTATATACAGTATAGGGAGATAGAGCAAAAGAAAATAAGACTACAGTACAGTAGGTACCCTATGGCGAGCATTTATGTCAGAAATTTATATATTTTTTTAACTTCTAAATTTCACTAAAAGAAAGTTAATTTTGATCATACAAAGTGAGCAGGGCTTTGAAGGACGGAAATTGTTGGTTAAGCCAAGCTAAAAACTGAGCAAACCAAACCTGACAACTCAAATATCAATATACAGTACAGTAAACCCTTGTTATTCGTGGGGGTTTGGTTCCAAGGAATGTCGCAAATTGGCAAAACCATGAATAGCAACTTATACTGCCTTAGTTCACTACTGTACTGTATACCAAACAACTGACCAGCCACAGAGCACTGATCCCCTCCTTTAACTTGTCTAATAATTCAAGTTTCTTTGTCAGGTTTATCACTGACTTCTGCCTTTTACATTTCACTCCATAGCACTGACACTAGGCAGTCTTTTAGGGGCCATTTAACACAGAAACACTAAAGTTTTAAGAGTACCTGCACAACACGAGATGCTGCACAGGGTGACTCGTGCTCCTAAGCCAGCCACCATTTGCTTACTGCGAATCTCAAACCCGTGAATGGCAAGGGTCTACTGTACATGTCCCACTTAACCAGAAGTTCCTGACTGTCGCCACCCTGGACCCTTGCTGTGTAAACCTAACCCAACAAACATGAGAAAATAAAATTAAAGAAACCAAACCTGGAATTGAAGAATAAAAAACTAAATGTAAATTTATGATGAAAACACGAGTAAGCGCAGACACACGACTGCTGCGTGACATTGACACATCTGCTGATTGGCTGAGCAAGCAGTAAACATTGTATATCCCCACAAACTTGTACTTTCTTAAGTGAAATCGAAAAGTGAAACCAACTCAAAAACTCAAAGTAAGTGTACTTTACTGCATTTTTTTTTACTTTGTATGTACTTTTCGGTGAGCTGGAATCAATTACCCAATATCCCATTGAAACAATGGATTCGGTTAACGAACGACCTTCTGGAACGAATTGTGTTCGTTAACCGAGGGACCACTGTAAATGTATGCTTATTATGTACAATCAAGTTGTAGCATTGTAAGATAAGTTTGATGGAATTTGAAAGGAAAACAAATTGGAGGTATTGATATTACCGACAATGCCTGAGTGTAACGTCAGCAGTGTTCACCCCATATAAACAAAGCAGCTGGAATTCAGGGGAACACAGTGAACAACTCATCAGGGACTAAGCGTGTATTTTTTGTAGAGAACATACGGTGTTTCCCATTAAAGAATGGGAATCATTGTACTACAGTACAGTATACAGTACTGTACAGGGTATCCACATTGAAATGAAACAACTTTGAACCGTTAAAATTTTTTTATTGAATACCTGTACAATAATGCAAACAGAGGATTATTTCCACAGCTCATAGTCAGTATACTTGAGTTTCATTTGGGTACGTCAGGGTAGACATTTAACACGTGCACCATTCATAGCTCGGACAAAGTCACAACGGTACTCAATTTTCTAACACTTTGCGGGTTACGTCCTCAGCCACCGTACTAGATTATGTTCAGTAATATTGAACAGCCAATCCAGAGTCAGTGAGGCAGGAGTCACCCGTACAGGGTTCAGTGACCACTGTATTGCCTACTGCAGTGAAAACCATCAGAAAAAAAAAGAGAATGCAAGGTCAAGGGAAAGATTGGACATAATTCAAGCAGGTTTGAGAGGGTCCACAAAATACTGATTAATGGTGTAGTTATTTCACTTTATAATTATCTCATATTCTGATACATTATATATTGTATTGTATACAGTATACATTATATATTGTATTGTATACAGTATACATTATATATTGTATTGTATACAGTATTATTGTATTGTACAGTCAATTACTACTACAAAGTCCATTTGCCTCTCCCCCTGACCCACAAACCCCGAGATTCAGACTCTCAAATCCAAAGTATTTATGGACAAAATAATGTACAGTACTACAATACAGTGCTGTATGTATCTGTCTATTGCTTCATGTTCAAGGATCTGAATCTCTGGGTTTGTGGTTCAGGGGGAGAGGTGAATGGACTTTAGTAGTAGACTGTATTGTGCAGTACATCTTTAATGTGATGATCCACTGATGATGTATTATTTCATTACAGACAAGTCCAGAACTTTTGGCTGAGGAATGACACCAGAATTACAGATCTTAATGAATATGACTTAGTTCTGTTAATTGTGTGTCGTGACGTGTTCACCCGAGACCTGGTGCGACTATTGCAGGACGAACTGCTTCCTCGAACCATGAGTCATTGCGAAGGAACCGAGGTTATGAACATTCTTAAATCTCTGAAGATATTATGGATTATAGAGGGGTTTGAAGAAGCCTCTGCCGATGGAAAAGATCTTCTGAAGCGACTCTTCAGTATTACAGATTCAGATCATACTGTTCTGGTGTCAACTCGACCTGAACACACTGTGGAGTTAACCAGTATTATTCTACCGGAGGAAAGGATTTGTGAAGTAACTCTCTATGGCTTCAGTGAAGATGGACGAGATATTGTTCTAAAAAGGCTATTACAGCAAGACATGAGTGACACAGCAGATCATGTTGAACAATATGAACAGTTCAAACATGACTTCAAACACCTAAGGAGAGACATCCAAGTTGAGCTAAATAATCCTCTGAAATTCATATTGGCCGTGAAACTGTGGAAGGAAGGAAACCTGAACACCGAGGCCGGTGCACCGCTGTCCCACCTCTACCGTGCAATACAAGATGTGCAGTTGAAAAATGTAGTGGAAAAACTAAGGATGAAATGCAGTCTAACAGAGGCGGAGACACGGGTTCGTGTTGAAACCTGGCTCGGCGCTATGTACAGAGTGGCCTTTAATATGATTCTTGATAAAAAATTTATCATAATTGACAAAGATAATGAGAAATTATTGATGGATAATTTTCAGTGTTTACTGCCTTCATATACAGACTGTTTCTCAACATTTCTTAGTAGCATGGTGGGTAATTCATCCTTAACAGATACCTACTATCAGTTTATTCACAGCACACAACAGTGTTATTTTGCCGCCCAACACATCTGTTCTCTCATGCTCCAACAAAACTATGATGAAAAAAAGTTTGCAGAATTGCTGAAAGTTGACTTAACAAAAAAGGAACAAATAGATCGATTTTATGAAGTGTTATTATATACGGCAAGTTTGGTTACACGGGAACAGTTAGACCGTGATGCAACAGAAACACTCACAAAATTTCTAAGTCAATGTCAAAACTGTAACTGGTTTGATGTGATCCACTATACTGGATATTCTGACACCTTCATCAAAGAAGTGTGTAAATATATACCAGATAATTGGGGGGTAACTGACACAACTGTTAAGGCAGCCAATATTTTAATGCAGCAAACTGTGCCATCTATAATTATTATCACCCTTGAAGAGGACCCTGACAATATTGTCAGTTTGAAGTGCTTCTTACAACAAATTGCTCAACATTCTATTTGGGTTAACATAATGTTCAATTATTACAACCTCCTCACTCCACCCCATAAAACATGTGATGAGTACATAAAGATACTGTGTGGTCCATCAGCACAGTGTAATATATATGAACTAACAGGTATGCTTAGTGCTGATGGATGCAACTTCATATCTCAAATGTCAAATTTAAAAACATTAACATTATCAGTCCAAAATCAGAAGACTTTAGAAGCTCTCTTACTTCCTATTTACTCAAATTATGCCGTGGAAGAATTAATCCTTTTTATGGATACCAGAGACTTTGAAGGACGGCTGAGCATTTCACTAGTTAGGTATGTAATACTGGATCTATATCTGCCGTACGTGTGTGATAGTGACGTAGAGGCTTCTGTAAAATTACTCCCGCGCTTGACCCACAAATACAGAAAAATTGGCTTGTCTGGTCTTTCAGCTGATGGGGCTCTACAATTTGTCCAAGGTCTTAAATCAAGAGGTGTGAGTGCAGAACAACTTCTTAGAAGTATAAAGTTTATTCATGACGGTATGCCACAACAGGTACTTTGGCTCCCTTATGGTCCAATTCCTGTACGTGTTTCAGAGATGCAGTTCATTGATATGTGGTGTAACCCAAAGGTGGAACTTACAATAAATGTAGATATTACACCAAATGAAACACCATAGATTATGATGAAGTTAATTGTGATTTAACAAAATGTATTGCAGTGATTATTGTATAGAGTTGTTGTCCTAATATATACAGTGATCACTCGGTTAACGAATTCCTTACGAATTCTTCTCAACATGTTTTCGCTTGCTCACCAGCTGGAATATTAGTCCACCAATACAGTAATCGGTTCTAGGGCTTAAACCCGTTCCCATTTGAGTAAATATCAAGAAGGTTGTACTCTTCAATAATTTTAAAAGTTTTATATTCAAATTTTTAGTCGTTTTAACAATTATTAAACATAATTGAAGTATAGGAAACTAGTTTTATGCACGCCAAACAGCCACTCAACTCACCAAACAGGCGTCAGTACAATTATTGGTCATTCTGAAATTTATTTTACATATTGACAACATATAGTGCAGTGCAGTGTTGATTTAAAGAAAATAATCTTGAATTACACCAAGTGAACTTAAAATTTTATGGGTGAAATGACGGCATGAAGCATGGGGTGATTTCTCTTCCATCCCCACTTCCTTCTCTTCTCCCTTCTTCTCCACCCCCACTTCTTATTCCCATCATCATCATCAACCAGGAGCCTTCTACATACACACCTCAAAGTAAGTGTACTTTACTGCATTTTTTTTTTACTTTGTATGTACTTTTCAGTGAGCTGGAACCAATTATCCCATTGAATCAATGGGAATTGTGTTTGTTAACTGAGGGACCATTGTGTATATATATATATATATATATATATATATATATATATATATATATATATATATATATATATATATATATATATATATATATATATGCAAGTAAATCACTGTAGGTGATCTAGGTATATGCTGATAACCACAAGGAAAGAAGAAATGATATATATATATATATATACAAGTATATATATATATATATATATCTGGTATGCACTGCTGTATAGAACTCTTATTTTTATACTGTTTTAATTACACCTGTTACTGTACTGAAATACAATGTTTTACACTGTCACTTGGTTAAAAATACTCCACGATGTACAGTATACTTATTAATAATAGAAAATGAAGATTGAAAAATATTATTTTGCCTTTGTCTACAATATATGCGTTGCCCCATCTCTCTTGGGTGGTAAGTACAGTGCAGTAATGGCCAAATCCTCCAGGCTACCTTTTTTATATATCGTGTCCCTTTTTAATATCTTCTTTGCTTACAACTCGCATATAGACTTCTCCTCCACCTTGTGTTGGGATTCTTCCTTTTATCTTGGCCAATTTTAATTCCACTTTGTTCAAAGTACCTACAGTAATATTCCTCTTGCTTTGCCATCAGCTGCTATTCTCCCCACATGACGACCTCAGAAGCTGCACCTATTTTTTATTTTAAACAGCTAGTTGATATACTGTACCAAAGGTTCTGTCCCTGGACCCTATCCATAAGCCAAATTTCCTGTAAACCAAACATGACCCTTCCATGAGGTGAATATGTATTGTACTGAATCACAAATGGCATCTCACAAGGGGATGAGCCTTACACTTAATCCTCCTCAAAGTGTTGTTACGCCGTACTAGTTACCTTCTGTAATAACACAAACTCTGCACAACCCCAATTTTTTATAATGTGTCTTATCGGAGTCTTTCTTTGTTTTGGGTGACAAAGACCAAATACATTTCACTATACAGACTCCTACTAATACCATCCCTCATCATCTTTGTGCAGTCATGTTGCTTCTTTTTCTCTTTTACAGATATTAGATTTATCACTGTTCCTAATTGGCTACAGATCCCCTTTAAGATTTTATAAATGCTTTGTTATAAAAGTCAAAAGTAAGTACTGTACCAGTCAGCTATTTTTCTCAAGGAAACTGGATTTGTAGATTTATTCTACCAATTTACTCCCAAACAAAAATGATTGCCTGCAAGTGTCTCAACATATACTCGTGTCCTACGCTGTGTTGTAGGATAAACCCCATGAGGGTGCAAAGCAAATCATTAAAAACAAAATACAGTACAGTGCCATAAAGTCCGTGGACCGAGGTCTACTGTACACCCACTAAAAAATTATTGGGCACCCGTTTCATATTTGATCACGCCGTAAGGGTGCCGAATAATTTTTAGTGGGTGTACATGATACTTGTACACACACACACACATGTATACATGCACGATACATACACTAAAAAATTATTGGGCACCCTTACGGAGTGATACAAGATGACACGGGTGCCGAATAATTTTTTAGTGGGTGTACTGAGGTGGTCACATGCCCAGGGCCAGGCTTGCCACCTCAACATAGTTTAACTTAAACTCTGCAAGGTTAATTAAGATGTTACTTATAAAAGTAATGTTTTATTTACATGATAACACCAAAAGCTGCTACACTTCCGTCTGCCTATCATGTATGTGTATCAAGAGGCCTCAACACTTGGCATTTACAGAAACATAGAATGCTGGTGTGATGCGTCTGCTCTCAATGGCCACCAGCCAGGAATTGAAGGAAGAATAGCAAGGTGATCACAGTTTGTAGCAGGCGGAGGTAAACCTTATCATGGAGATGTTGATTGGGCAGGTCTTGCTCACTAAGACCCTCTACCTTTCAAGGAGCATTGGAAAGAAAATTGGACAAAATGATGGGATGAAACAGGTGATTATTATCAATCACTGTGGCTTGTATAAATGGGGGACAAATTATACTGTACTGTATATCGTATTTTCCGTCAACAGTCTGGATTATGAGGGCAGCCTGGCATTAAACAACTTGAGAGTTGGTTACAATGTCTAGTCCGAAGGTTGAAAAACTGCAGATGTACCATATAATAATTACGAGTTACGAACCTAATAATAAGAGACTGCATGGAGAGCTGCGTGGAAAATGGCCGTAAAATGATTCGACTCAAAAGTTGAAACTGTTCACTTTTACAACATAAGGGATTAAGTTTTCACAATCATAAGTAAAGACAGTCCCTCAGAATGATATAATGCAAGTAGTTTTGCAAATGTTCTGTATATTTTCAATTAAAAAATAACTAATTTCTCTCACTGGAAACAAAGTAGTTTAACCAATCTTAAAATGTGATATCAATAATCCTTCCATATATTACTGTACAGTTATTACCTCTACTGTATCTAAAGTTTTTGGGCCAGTGTGAGAAGGTGAATCAAGCGACTAAATTAGTAGGTCTTGTAAGAAGGTCGTTCAGATATCTTTAAGATCCAGCCTTCGTAACGATCTTTAAGAGCGAGTTGCTTCCCCGTCTGGTCCCCGAGATGTGCTAGAAACTGTCCAAAGGAGGCCCACCAGACTGGTGCCTGCACTACGGCACCTCAGCTACCCTGGGAGATTAGAATGCCTGCAATTGCCTAGCTTATACTACAGACGGGCAAGGGGTGATCTAATTGAAGTGTATAAATATCTCGGATGGCACTTGTGAGTCGAGGGTCCACACCTGAAGCTGGCGGACGCTCGCCCCACAAGGGGTCACAGCTCAAGGTTGAAGAAGCGACAAGTCCAGAAAACTGTGAGGGTAACATTTTCGGAGTGAAGGTTGTGAACTCTTTGAACAATCTGCCAGAAAGTGTTGTGATGACACCGAGTGTGAACTCTTTCAAGACCAGACTTGACCAACACTGGGGCAGGTTCAGGTACATTCAGGAGCCAGGCATGGGCAACCTTTCCTGTCATGGACCGCATTACGATTTAGGTATTTTTTTGCAAGCCAACCCACCAAAATTTATTTCCAAAAGTAATGTTAATATTGTACTAGCATGGACAGTGAAGCAGTTTATCATCACGTCCACCTTACGATATTTTCAGTTCACAGTCTTCTTCCCATTTATGAAACAAATCCATCATAATAATATTTGAAGTAATACATTAATGTTTCTTGGCATTTCTTGGGTGAAGCAGCCTGTGAATACGTTGATTTTCCTACAGTTAGAGCATTTGTCTCATGAGACACACCCACCAGAATAATGTCAATGTTAATCTTGGTGCATGAGGAACTACAATGAAACAACCTATAGACACATGTATTTATTTTACATTAAACTATTTATACAGTGTACATATATATTTTAACTTGTGTGAGTTTATGGGCCAAGTTTGGCGCTGTCTGTTTGATGGATTAGCTGCTATGTGGCAGTGGGTCACTTGGGAATTAACTAAGGTTGGTAAAGTCCAAGTGGGGTCACGGGCAGTAGTCAAAGGTAGAGGTTTCTTCCTTGTTGACAGACTCTCTCTCTCTATAGTGCTTCACCCTTCATGCCTGGCTGTTTGTTCTTTCTATTTATTCTTGTCTGATTAGGACCCCAGTGACCCCACTTGGACTTACCCAACCTTAGTTAATTCCCAAGTGACCCACTGCCACATAGCAGCTAATCCATCAAACAGACAGCGCCAAACTTGACCCATAAACTCACTCAAGTTAAAATGTTTATATTGTTGACTATATATATTTATTTCACTGTTACATTTTAGAGTTGCTTACTCTTTGGTGATGAAACAGTAATGAATTGTGTGTGTGAAGATTTTTCTTCCAATAAATATTGCTTTACACACCATAAAGTGGCTGCATCTACCTGAACCGCAGGCCACATTAAACAGAATTTATCGATCACTCTGCAGGCCGTGGGTTGCCCATGCCTGCTGCACTGTACTGCTTTAGTAATAATATATGATCAATACATATGTTTAGAGGTACAGTATTGTTCCCACGAAAATTGCTTAAAAATATATATACAATATTACCCCGCTTTCCGAGGTTTCACTTTCCGCGATTTCTCATATAAGTGGTGCCTCGCCAGAACCGAACTTTCACTTTCCGCGGTGCATCTACTCATATACGCGGGAAGCGGCGCGGGCAGGATGCGCACAAGGTCGCCCAGTCATCAAAACATTACCGAGTTCTTCACCCGCCACCCACCACAGCCGGCCTAAGTCAGTGATAGTGAGGATATGGACTTATATGGACTTTGAGGGGTTTGACAAAGAGGCCCTGCAAGTGATACAGGTGAGGGCCAATAATCTGCCCTCTGCCTCGGAACCAACCCCCCATCCCCGTGTGCCCAGCCATCTTTTCTACTAATGTAAGTGTTAAAAAACCTAATATTATTGATATTTCTCTTAATTATTAATTGTGTGTGCATACCATCATAAAGTTAAGATAATATTTTTACTACAACATAGTTGTGTGTTGTCAAAAAGTGGAGTTTGGGGGTCGGGCCAGTCTCTATTGGAATTAATCCCATATGTTCTGTTGTTCACTTTAAGCGGTTTTCACTTTACGCGGTACCCTGTGGGTTCAATTGACTGCGTAAATCGGGGTACAACTGTATATATTTTTTACATTTGGGGCTCATTGTTTTTGACTATATCAGTACATTACCAGAGACAGCAAAACAAAACTTACTACAATTGGCTGCCAAAGAAACTCGTCTCAGTGCTCAAACAAATACTGTTTTTCAGACTTTTTTTTTTTCAGGTAGAGGAGTTATATTTACCTGCCTTATACTGTACACGTATTTTCCTTTAACAGTATGACTCTACTGTGAACACAACTGTATACAGAAGGAAACAAAAGTGAAGTCTGAAAATAAGACAAATCAGACCTAGCCCACTAGTGATCTATAGCCAACAATTTCCATTAATCCCAATGACTCCCTATTAACTAAATGGGGTTCTTCTAAATGTACATTATTGTAATACTGTATCTTATTCATTAACCTCACACATTTCATCTCCTGAAACAGTAAATTAACAAAAACTGTCACAAGTGGAAGACAATTTTAAGGTGAACCTCCTCCATTCAAGTCACATTTTCAGGTATACAGGATATATGAAGCACCACAGATTGTTTTTAAACCTTCAAGTTTCTAATATTTTTCACCAGCTATATTACTCTATGTTTGTACTCTACTCTGGTACGGAGGCTCCTGCCACAGAGAGTTTTGCAACAATTGAAATTTTGTTGGAAAAATGGATTTTGATCATTGACTTCTATTTATTACTTGCACTTTAAAATAGCAAATGAGGCTCACTTGTGAAAACTACATAAAAGGGCAACACTTTTATACTACCAAGAAAACTTTGCTTGCTGTAACTCTTCACAAGCTGTCACCTCCAATTTGTTTTCTGAATCTGGTACAAGTCACCTCGTGTCTGAAGTCACCCCCACCTTATAGTACACAAATTCGACTCCACAGTGCAATTATTATTTCCAGTCTTATCACTAGAGGTCGGATGCTCACGCAAAATGTCATAAGTATATCTATATTTGCCTTTTTTGTCATGTGAGTGAAATAATGCCCCAAATGTTGAATTATGCCTGATTTTAGTGTTTTGTCTGTACCTACTTTTATTTAGTGAAATTTTTTTTGTTCCCCTTCAAAGGAAAATAATATAGAAAATGTATATGGTGTAACTATCCCACTGGTACATGTATTTATGTGAAGAGAAAATTATGATGTGTGAGGTAATAATACTTTTTTTTCTCGGGTATAAACACAACTGTATGTATGTTTATTTCTTTTGAAGAATAATGGAAAAATTGAAAGTGCACAATGTACCAAATAAAATGAAGGAATTTGTTGCACTGTCCCTACCATTAGTTAGTGAGAATTATGGTACTGTACCGTTAAGCTAACGTACGTGACAAGTTTTAGTTCTCCCTAAAAGGAACAAGTATTTGGATAATGTACTACTGGTACTTTATTGGTAGTATATGTTAACAAACAAGTATTTGTGTCAAAGGGCGTGATGTGTAGTGAAAACCAATTGACTTTTTTCTATCACACTCACACTACATTTGTTCATTTTTCCAGCACAGAAGAATAATGGCACAATGTACAAAATAAAAGGTGCCCACTCCACTGTTAATAAAAAGGTTTAGATATGTATTAAATTTTTGAATTTTATAAATAAAATGGTTGCTGCTTTTTTTTCCATTTTATGTTGCCTATATATAAATAGTTTAGTGTCATTTGCCTGCCTCTTTAAGGATTGTAATTGTCATAATATCCAGGCTCAACTTATACACAATTTTTTTTTTTTAAGGGGATTAGCCCACCCGGGCACAGGTCACTGACCCACATTGGGACCTCGGGGGGCGAAAATTTAATAATAGTAATTCATAGTAAATAAAATTTATAATAAGTAAAAGATAATAATAATAATAACAACACTGTAATAATGATAAAGAAAAGAAAAATACTAATCAATAGTGAGAAATACTCTATGTATAGCATGTTGTGTTGTCAATTGTAAGAGAAACAATTGAGATTGTGGGGTATGGTAGTTTGTTCTTTCTCCTCCATCCTGTGAGTGTCACTCCGGGGTCACCATTTGTGGGGTAATGGATCATTTGGTGTTCACTCAGGATGGGATGGAGAAAGGAAACTCACAATGTGCTCTCTGTATACATGTTGTATTGGATGTACAATGCAGCTTGGTGCTGGGAAAGCAGCATGGTTACAAGCGTGATGTAGAGAGAGCTGGTTGGTGAGATGCTCACAGGAGGACCAGCTTGTGGGTCGCCATGTTCGCCGGCGGGAGCGAGGGCCGCCAGGCAGGCGGAGGTGTTGCTGGCTGGTTGGTGTAGGTAGAAAGAGAGAGATCACCACGAGGTCAGGTCTTAAATAGCGGGGATAGGCGTGGCTTAGTAGTTGACCTCCGTCATGTATGGCGGCGCTGGTTGACCCAGACCACGAGGCATACACTGGGGAATTCGCGGGGTCGGCTACTCAGCGACAAACAGCGTTTGTAGGGGAGAAATCCACTACAAGATCCTGCAATTGTGTGTAAATGAGGCAGAAAGACAGATAAGCAACCTGGGACTTGGTCACAATATTCGTGATGCCATATGTCAGCAGGGTCTACCATTAGACAACACATTATGCTTCCAATATCTTCCCAGGCAGTAGTACCTTCCTAACACTTTCTCTGTTGGCTGCATGTTCCTGTGATCACCTGATCCTGATGTTGCCTGCATGTTCCTGTGATCAATTGATCCTGATGTTGCCTGCATGTTCCTGTGATCTGATGTTGCCTGCATGTTCCTGTGATCACTTGATCCTGATGTTGCCTGCATGTTCCTGTGATCACTTGATCCTGATGTTGCATGCATGTTCCTGATGTTGCTTGGTATGAGGTGGAGGTTGCCTGACTATCTTCACAGGTTTAATACACTTGTTAATGTATGACACTTTACAGTATTAATATTTGACCAAATTACTGTACTATAATATTAATACAGTATCAGACTGATTATCATATATGTGTTAATATTTCAAACACAGTACCACAACACTGTATCGACAAAGATTTACAATTCTTCCTTAATATAAATACAATTCTCGTCCAGGTTTTCTACTTTCACGGCAGACTCGGCGATAAGCTCACATCCTAATGGGTCCATGGAGTCACAGCTGCTGTTACAGTCTTGGGGACAATCATTCTCTTGTACTCCACCCGAGCAGTCAATCACGTCTGCTGCAGAGTCTACCATCACACACACATTATCCATATTTTGGTAGGATAATTCCACCTCTAACTGAGATGGCTGGACACATTCATCTTTACGATAACAGGAGGAACATAAAGCGTGAATGGGCCATAGACAATGATGGTTATAAATGGGAGGATTGTCTCCATGTAACCAAGAAGCACCAAGAATATAAACCTCGTGTTCGGTCCCTGTCTCGTCTGATGGCTTCTCGCTCACTTGTTCTCTATCTATTTGTTCTTTTAGATGACACTTGCATTTGTATTCTTTATAACATCTTGAGCATTTAAGTGAGTTCTGACCGGTGTGTTCTTTCACGTGATTAACCAAGTCACTTTTCCATGAAAATTTGTTGTGACAGTCAGGACAGTGGAATGGTGTTTCTCCAGTGTGAACTCCCATGTGTCCTTCTATACTCATTTCTTGGGTAGAAGATTTATGCCTTTCTGAACACAGGACATGTTTTTTTTTGGAATGAACTTTAGTGTGGCGTATTAAGCTGCTTTTATGTTCAAAATATTTCTTGCATTTTGAACAGTGATAAACACTGGTGCTTGTATGAAATTTCATATGTCCTAATAACTTACTTCGAGAGAGAAAGTTTTTAAAACACTCGGAGCACTGATGTAATGTTTCTCCACTATGAACTCTCATGTGATAATCTAAATTTTGTTTCCGACTAAAGGATTCTTCACACTCCGAACACTGATAAGGTTTCTTACCAGTGTGGCTGAACATGTGCAGTTTTAAACTAATGTTTCTTGTAAATATTTGGCTACAAAATGAACAGGAAAACTGTTGGGCATCCATCATCCTGCTACAGTACTTGTGTTATTTTCTGATCTACAAAAACATAAAACTATGAGTCTACAGTACTGGGTCACACCACATACTTCACAGATGAACTACATAACGTTACCAAGTCTCCACTCATCTTCACCACTGACTTTAGCACTGTTGTTGTGTGAGCACGTCTAGGAAGTACTTTACAGTACAGTACTTTGAACAAGGTCTTGGTTATTAATGCAGTTCTGTACTGTAGAGGTGACCTACAGGAATAGGCAGCACTTGAAACTGGGGAAGACACATTTCTCAACACTCTTCCTCTGTTATGATTTTGTTGTCAAGAGCTGCAGGAGTTGGGACACTTTCTGGACACACAACCTGGTAAAGGAAAATAAATACTGTAATAACATAAGCGCCATACATTATAGGTACCTGGCCATATACAGTACAGTATTGATATATCATCATGGGAGACGTCCATACGCTGACTATTATTGTTCACTGCATCGCACACTCATACTCAACACTCCCTTACATCTCTCTACTCTGTCACCATTTTCCCCTTAAATTTATAAGAAGAAACAAGATATTATAGGTTCTTTAACCTATTTTACGTATAAAGGATGAGAATCCCATATTATGGGTTTAGATACATTTCCAATTTCTTTTGAGTTTATAAGTGAAGTGTACTGTATGTTCCTGTACTGTACTTACTGTTCTTCCACAAGGGGAAGGGGGAGACAAGAAAGCCATCTTGAATTTCACTCCACATTTATGTTATCCTGTGCTGGTTGCTGTTTATTGTATCAAGTTATCTGTCCTTGTGGAGGATGAAGAGCATCTCCAAGAGTTCATCTGTCAACATGGACTAGTTGGCAGGACATGCAAGTGTTAACAAAATGCAGAGGAGAACTGACAGTGAAAAGAAATTATTTATTCAGAGTAAGAAACATTCATACTCTAACGTCCACAGGAGACATAGTCAAACACATTCAATCTGCATCAGTTATTTTACTCTTAGAAAACCATGTACAGTACAGTACAGTACAGTACAGCACAGTACAATACTGTACCAGTGAAAGCACTTTTCTTGAAGCAACTTTGTGTAATTTTAAGTTATGGACACAAACAATATAACAATTGGCCACGTTTGCCATAAGGTGGAAATACAAAAAAAATTAATTGGTCTTTTTGTCAGGAAGTGGCTGTCACTTTCTGAACTTCCAACAGTGAGAAGTAGGGCAGTATTTCATATGAGGCCAAGTTCGGTAAGAGAAAAATATGAACGTGGAAGGATTGTTTCCGGACAGCGGGTAGCCAGTTGGTGGGATTTAGCGTGGTAGTAAAAATTTGTTTTTCGTGCCTGCTGAAACGAGAGACAGAGAAACATTGTTGAACATTATTAAGGAATGGGTACAGAACTTCCAGGCACCAGCATTTGTTGACCCGGGTACTGGTGCTCACACAGAGAATATGGCGAGATATCAGACCATGTATCCCACGTTTTGGTAGCCATGATCAACACTTTGTTGGCTACTTAGCTGAATTACTCTTCATTTTACTTACTTTAACTTTTATCCTCTTCACCACTGATCAACTCGTTAGCCGCTTGAGCGATCGGTCACGTCTCTGCTACTCACTGTTGGCAAGTACTGGGCATGCACCGGCTCCTGAATGTACCTGAACCCGCTCCAGTATTGGTCAAGTCTGGTCTTGAAAGAGCTCACACTCCATGCCGTCACAACACTTTCTGGTAGATTGTTCCATGAGTTCACAACTCTCACTCCAAAAAAGTTTGCCCTCACAGTCTTCTGGACTTGCAGCCTCTTCAATCTTGAGCTGTGACCCCTTGTGGGGCGAGCGTCCGCCAGCTCCAAGTAAGGAAACTCGACTGAGTAGTGCCCCTTGAGATGCTTATATACCTCAATTAGGTCGCCCCTTGCCCGCCTGTAGTATAAGCTAGGTAAGTTCAGGCGCTCCAATCTCTCAGGGTAGCTGCGGTGCCGAAGTGCAGGCACCAGTTTAGTGGCCCTCCTTTGAACATTTTCAACCAACTGACTGTCCCTAGCATATCTTGGGGACCAGACAGGGTGACAGTACTCCAGATGGGGAAGCACTTCACTCTTGAAAATCATTACGCGAGACGGACCGTCTAGATATTTGAACGACCTTCTTATAAGACCCAATAATTTATTTGCCTGATTTACCTTCTTCTCGCAATGGCCCGGAACTTCAGCTCATTGAATGTGAGAAGGACCTAGGTGTGTATGTTGACAGTCTCAAATAGTGCAGTTTCTTCATCCCGTTGGGACATATGATACGCCTCCTTACCATTGGTACGCCCCAGGTGCATCCTCTTACACTTCGTGTCATTGAATCTCAGCAGCCATTTCTTCGACCATTTTTGGAGCTCACAGAGATCCTTCTGCAGCTTTTCACAGTCCGCTTGGTTCTTGATTTCCTGAAATAACTTGGTGTCATTGGCAAACAGTGGGCCCAATACACTGCCCTGTGGTACCCTACTTGTGACAGGTACAGATGATGATTTCGTGCCATTAATCACCACAAACTGCTTGTGGTCATGTAGAAAGTCTTCTATCCTCGTTAGGACATTTCCCCGAATTCTGTACCCTTTCAGTTTGATTTTCAGCCTTTCGTGGGGTACCCTGTGGAAAGCCTTGGCAAAATCTAGGTAAATATTGACGATATTACCACTCCTTTCCAGAATATGGGTCCAAATATCCAATACCTTGAGCAATTGTGTTAAGCAGGAGCTCCCCGGCATAAAACCGTGTTGGCAATCCTTTACAAGGTTGTTTCGTAGTAGATGTTCCATTGCGGCATCTCTGATAATACTCTCAAGTACTTTATATATTATGCTGGTCAGGCTCACCGGTCTATAGTTGTTCGTGGAGTGACGATCGCCCTTCTTGAAGATAAGACTCACATAAGCCACTTTCCATTCACTGGGGACCTTTTGTTCGTCCAGGCATTCACAAAACAGGATCTTCAGGGGCTCGGCAAGCTCGTTGCTCAACTCTCTTAGCACTCTAGGATTCACCACGTCAGGGCCGGGACTCTTATGAACCTTTAGCTTTGACAGTTTATTTCTAATACCCTCTTCCGTGAACACAATGTGGGTCAGTGCTGTGTCGAACCGTGTCCTCAAACACACGAAGATTGCTCGCATCCTCTCTTGTGAACACCGAGGAAATGAAACTGCTCAATGCCTCAGCTTTATCCTGGTCAGAATCTGCGTAACTATCATCTTCAAGCCTCAGGTCTGATACTCCTACTCGCGTTTTTAAGTTTGACTTTGCATAGCGGTAAAACGCTTTGGGTTTGACTTGACCTCCCTGCAACCAGCCTCTGGAACTCTTTTTCTGCCCTTCTACACTCTATCTTTGCTTGGTTTCTGGTCTTGCATACATCCTCCTGTCCTGCTCATCGTTTGACCCAACCCACGTCTTGAATTTCTGGGTTTTCTTCTCAACTTTGTCAACCGCCGCGTGGTTCATGTGTAGGGATCCCCTTGTACTCCTAGAGGCACTGGGTTTGGTCTTGGGTATATATTTATCGATCAAATGGGTCACTTCAAGAGACTTTTCCATCAAGGAGACACATGACACCATTTCCTCAAGGCCATCACTCCACTTTATCCATCACAATCTTAAGGTAAGTTCTTTATGTGTTCAGAGGGTCGAGGAGGCAGTTAGGGAGGTGAGGTGAAGTTAGGTTTTGTGCATTATTGTTACCATTTTTGTGTTTAGTATCATTCAAATATTATATCCCAGAATTGTGGTCAAATTCCATAAATTTGTCTACTGCTAACCACCTGCTTCACCTTTACTGAACTTTCTACCAATAAGACATCCTCAGATTCCTTCTAACTTGCATAGGACTTTCTATATTCTAACCTTTGCCTTAAGTTTGCTGATAATACAGTAATAAACTGGCAGGTCACCACAAAGTATATTTAGGGCCGTTACTCAACACACACTGGCTTATGATCCTAAATTGGGAAATTTTTACTCTTGGAACCACAGGAATCTTGGCAATCTTATCTTTACAATCAATAGTTTAGTAGACAATTCTAAGCCAATTTTCTTCTACGATGTTAACCTCCATGCAGAGCCCGTCGATCAACACTGGCATATTTAAGTCATTTGTGAGTGAAGTGTCATAGAAAACAAACTACCTATTGTAAAGATAAAATCCCTAAGAAACCTGTGTTGTCTGAAAGAAATATAATGTCCTAAATTGTATGCCAGTGTTTACCCTATTCTAATGCAGTATTGAAGGGGGCGACCAACACCAGAAGCAGTCATTAAATTTTTCCACAGATGTTGTTTGAATGATATTGTGTAATAAAAACGATTTGACAAATTTTTCCCGTAATTTTTCCCTCTATCTACGATTATGTATCACCTGTAGTAGGCAGGGCACGAAAGAAGAGGGAAATTACCACTTCCCGGAGGCCATCGCTGCACTGGGGTCTGCCCATATCGTCAATAACCAGCTTCGTCACAACTATTTTTAACTCGTTTCGTAACCACTGCTTTACCCCCTTCGTCACCCCGTTCATTCCCATCATTATAAAAACGAAAATAACTGGTTCTTGGGATATAAAATAATGAACAATATTAAGACAAATTATTAAAGACGAAAATATAAAACATTGTTAATACTCCTCACTACCCGGTGGTTTATGTCCTGGTGCCAAATCACTTCCATTTGTTCTGTATTTTGTTTATTTACTTTTACCAAAGTTTTAATCGTTTTCTTTATTACTTTTACTTTTTTTTACTTTATCTTTTCAATAGTTAATATTCGTGTATAATAATAACACAATAATTCTTCATTTGTTCTGTATTTGGTTTATTTACCAATGTTTGAATAATTTTTATCAAATAATTAATATCATGTATAATAATAGCACAATACTTCTCCAGTTGTCTGCATACATGTATAATTTATATTCGTGTAAAATAATAAATTACAATTTGTCAATAATACTAGTGACTTAGCGGTCAAGAAACGGATTTGATATTGGTGACGAAATGGGGTGTATCCGCAGCGCTCTATCCACCTCAATATTAGGGTAAGTTCCTTCTGCTGAATAAGCAGGTGTGTCATATTGTTGAAATTATACTCTCATCCAAACAACATTTGTGAAGAAAAAAACGAATTGAACAACAACTGCTGCTGATGTTAGCCATCCCCTTAGGTCTAGACACATTAGGTCAGGTTCTATTAGGTTCTGTGCATTGGCATACAGTTTTTATTACTAACTATCTTCTAAACATCTGTCGAAAATATGAAAGAAATAGCATAACTTTGGTGTTAGCCGTCTCCTCACCCATTACCAATAAAATAATATAGCAGGAGGTATGAGACATGAGGCAGAACTAACCCATTAAACTATTGTTGACCCTGTAGCAGGCAGGGGCTCCCCTCAGCTGAACACAATGGTCTGGCGTTAGTCAGAATAAAATCCCTATGGGGTATTTTTCCCTAAAGGGTTAAAGAGACACACAAAGCCTGAACAATAATGCCAACTTTGGGTCTTAGTCAACAATAATATTTATCATCCATACACAAGTCAATTAGTACTTACGGTATATAATATTAAAGAAGAGCAACTGGACTCACGCCTCCAGTACACAACACCGTCAGTACTACCAACAGACTCATCACGTGACGAGCCCATCACTGGTGAACAAGATAAAAGTAAAAGTAACATTTAGTTCTATTTTAATAATAAGTTGCGTAAATTTGTCTTCATGTAGGTAAAAGGTTTTATATAGGTTGTGGGTAAGGCATTGTAGATGTGCTTTACCTCACATAGAAAGAAGCTAATGGTTACCTGTATAGAGGTTTAATGTTCCTAATTATATCCTAAACACGTTACCACAATTTACATTTTATTTTTATTAAGAGTGTCCAAAATGCGCTAAAGTTAACTGAAAGTCTGGTTAAGTAAGGACAGATCCTAGAAGTCAAGGTTGGTTGATTAACATAAAAGTTTGGAAAGTTTTTGTTCATGGTAATTAACATTTTATTTTCAGGTGTTATTCTGGGATGTGAGGTAATATTACTATGGTGTATTGTCATTAACTTAAAACTCATTACCTGTACGAGATAGTCTGTATGCTAATTTACGAATAATTAGGTTTGTGTATAATTGATTTAATGAGATATAATAAGTTTGTACAATTGGTGAAGGATAATGGTCTAGGGGCGGTCTGATTAATTACCCAAATGTAGCCGGAATGAAGTCAAATAATGGTCCTTGATGAATAAATCGGACTGCCAATCACTTCTCGACTAGTATTTGGTGTCAGAAAGTAAAAAACTATTGGTAAACTTAATTTAATCTGAGTTAATAGATCGCGTGCATGTACCGACGGGCGAGAATTACCCAAATGTAGCCGCAATGAAGTCAAATGATGGTCGTGAGAGTAAATTCGGGCTGTGAATCACTTCTCGATTATTATTTGGTGTCATAAAGTAAAAAAATTGGTAAACTTAATTTAATCTAGATTAGATTAGATTAGATTAGATTAGATTAGATTAGATTAGATTAGATTAGATTAGATTAGATTAGGTTAGGTTAGGTTAGGTTAGGTTAGGTTAGGTTAGGTTAGGTTAGGTTAGGTTAGGTTAGGTACATGCACTTGATTTATTAACTCAGATTAAATTAAGTTTACCAATTTTTTGTGACTGTGACACCAAATACTAGTCGAGAAGTGATTGGCAGTCCGATTTATTAATTTAGGACTATTATTTGACTTTATTCCGGCTACATTTGGGTAATTAGTCGGACCCGTCTTGAGGTTTATGCTCACATCGTCTGTATTTCACTAAAGTCTCTGTATGTTATCCTCTTTAACTGCCCGTGGTTCATTGCCATACAACATAACACTTCTCACACAAGCCACATACATCATTCCTTCACTTGGAGCTAATGTCTATTCATCGTTAATAAAGGCAGCTGCTCCCTAAGCTTCCTTCGAATCCAGGAAAAGAAGTCAGAAAAAATAACAGAACCTAACCTAACTTAATGGAGGTGAATTTTCGATCTTGCACCGGCATTTCTTTAACTGTTATTAATATGTTTTTCGTAATGTTTAGACAATTCTAAGACCTTTTTCTTATATGATATTTCCGCCAGAAATTAAGGATATGGCTGAACAGGTGGAAAGAGCTGTGCCGACATTGTGATAGAGATTATTTTACCTCAATTGCAGAGTTTCATCAGAAAAATAGTGTTAGGTTAGGTCAGGTCAGGTCAGGTCAGGTCAGGTCAGGTCAGGTTTGGTTTGGTTTGGTTGGTTTGTTGGCTTTTTATTTATGTGATTTACTCGAGAAAAAATAGATACATTTTTGTTAAGATTGATGGGTGGGGGGTGGGGGGGGTGGTATCTCAAAAACTATTAATTTCCGGCTGAAATGAATATCAAATTCGTTCAAAACTCATCAAATAACATCGGAGAAACATATTTTTAATATCCAAACAAAGACTGGTGCATTAGTGAACTTTGACCCTAACCTATCTTGACCTAACCTAACCTAACTTAGCATATTTTATTGCTTTAATTGTTAATTGTATTTAAATATAATATAACTTTTTTCTTTTGAGTTTACTTCTGTTCACCAGCCACTGAGCAAGCTTCTGCCTAGTCTTCATCACATGACCCAGGTAACACACCTCATCAACACAAATATCCCCATGTTAAGTTACTCCACCCTGCACATGGTTACCTCCACATACACAACACTGCAGTTCACCATCTACACTACACCTCTTATGTACCCACCTTCCTCATTATTGAGTTGTTTTTGCCACAAATTGTTTTCACACCCTTTGCCTCTATGTCATCCTTCCGTTCCTCTTCTATACCATCTGCTATCAGCACTAAGTCATCAGCACTCAACATCTCCCTAGGTAGACCAGCCCTAAAACCCCATGATATTGCCTCCAGCAACATGCTAAACAGAAAGGGGCTCAAGACAAGCCCCTGATGGACTCCTACTTTTACCTCAAATTTCTCACCATTTTCTTTCATTTTGTCTGAATTTAGCAGCAACGGGCTGGAGACATCATGTTTAGTGTCTGTTACTTCACCCTGTAACTCAATGCCTGATGTAACATGTGATTAATTGTGAGCGGCAGGTGATGAACGTCGTCTTCATGGCCTCCACGTGTTTGAATCTTGTCAATTTTCTAGCACAATTCTGACCCCAGACTTAAAGCTTTGGTGGGCCTTGAATCAGACTTAAAGCTTCACTGGGCATGGGGTCAGCTGCCAGATCAAATAGAAAAGCTGAAGTGTACATCCTTCTTTCCTCACACAGCCAAACAGTGGAATGCTCTCTCTTCTTCTGTGTTTCCATACTCCTACAATCTGTCTCACATCAAAAAGCTGGTTTTCCGGTATTTTTGTGGCGTAGATGAATATAATAATTATCTTTTATATTTATAATTTATCGACCCCCCTCCCCCCCCCAGGCCCGGGTGAGCTTTTCCCCGTAAAAAAAAAGTGGGCGAGGAAATGAGTCAACAATAACATTCACTTGGTCACCAGGACAGTACAAGGTGTGGCTATGGCATTAATTCAGCAGTACAAGGTGTGGCTATGGCATTAATTCAGCAGTACAAGGTGTAGCTATGGCATTAATTCAGCAGTGCAAGGTGTGGCTATGGCATTAATTCAGCAGTACAAGGTGTAGCTATGGCATTAATTCAGCAGTACAAGGTGTAGCTATGGCATTAATTCAGCAGTACAAGGTGTAGCTATGGCATTAATTCAGCAGTACAAGGTGTAGCTATGGCATTAATTCAGCACATTGACTGCCTGGACACAATGGCCCGGACGGTCGATGAGTAATGTGAGTTTCATAATTTCCTTCACAATTTTTTCCCTCATACATAATTTTATTTTTGTATGTTTATACTTTGTATTTATATCAGTTACTGTCCATTTTTTTTAGGAATGGAAATTATACTTCTCATTACACATATTAATTTCTTTTGACAGACTTTATGTACGGTCTGCCATAATATTCTGATCTATTAATTTTGTACCTATTCTTAATTTAAGTTACAGTATGGATATATAATTTCATTCTACTGTATTTCTTCATAGTACATTAGAGTGAATTTACTTCATTTGACTTTCTTTAAATTATTATTATTATTGTTTTTTTTTTTTACAGATATTTTCAGTTTTGTGGTGACAATATAGAAAATGCATTCAGTAGTTAAAGGTGTCCTCCTGTCTGGGGTGACTGGCTTGGGTTGGATGGCTCTGTTTCGTCTCAGTAACAGTCTTCTAACACACTATTTTAGAGCCAGAGACTGGAAGATGTCTCACCACCACATAATGAATATATGTGAGGCTCTTGTGTCTGGCATTCAGGTATACAATTACTTTTTTATTTTGATAAAAATAAATTGATTTAATTCAACTTTGATTTTGTTATGTGTACAAGAGTTTCAAAAGAAGGCTGAGAACATTGTTGTATTTATGCCTTTACACCATTTAAATGTCTTACCTGTGACTCCGAGACATGACACAACGCACCATCTCTGGGCCCAACGATGTGTGATGTCTCGGATTAACGGGTTCTTGAGTCTCAGGGATCATGGATGGGAGAGAGGACTGACTGCTCTTTCTTCCATGACTGTACACCTGACCTCCTCTATTGTACAGTGAACCCTCACTTTAAGCGGTCAATTGAACCCACGGCGGCCCGCGTAAAGTGAGAAACGCGTAAAGTGAACAACATAACATATGGGATTAATTGAAATAGAGACCGGGCCGACCTCCAAACTCCACTTTTTCAGACACAATACCTACGTTGTAGTAAAAATAACTTCTTAATTTTATGATGGTATGCACACACAATTAATAATTAAGAGAAATATCAATAATATTAGGCTTTTTAACACTTACATTAGTAGAAAAGATGGTTGGGCACACGGGGATGGGGGGTTGGTTCCGAGGCAGAGGGCAGATTATTGGCCCTCACCTGTATCACTTGTATCACTATCCACCACAGAGGCTTGCAGGGCCTCTTTGTCAAACCCCTCAAAGTCCATATAAGTCCATATCCTCACTATCATTATCACTATCACTGACTTGGGCCAGCTGTGGTGGGTGGTGGGTGAAGAACTCGGTAATGTTTTGATGACTGGGCTACCTTGTGCGCACCCTGCTCGCGCCACTCTCCGTGTAAAAGGGTACACACACCGCGGAAAGTGAGCATTCCGGTTTCGGCAGGGTACCGGGTAAACGTGGAAACGCGTAAAGTGAAACCGCTCAAAGCGGGGGTTTACTGTACTGTATCTGGTTAAAGCTGTCAATGTGAACACAAGTGAATCTTATCAGCATGTGTTCACTGATCTTAGAATTATGATCTTGAAGTACAGTATTTGTAAAGAATAGCTGAGCAGATATATTATTGATAGTACGTAGTCTAATATACTGTATGCTTAACCTTCTTAATATGTACAATACTGTATTTCTGTGTTTTTAATGTTTGAGGGTGTCTTGACATATAGTACAGCACAGAGGTGTTTCACAGTCCATCTTAAGAAATAGTCTCAAAATACACACTGTAATACGTCATGCATTACACAACATAAGGTTTTGCACATTTGAGTCAAGTTATTCTTTATATTTCCTTTGTACATTTATCTTTTTCTTTGTTATCCCAACATTACCGTAAGAGAGAGAGGATACACTGATGAATGTGGTTGTCTTAGTATTTATTCAGTAACATCTTCATACAGGTTAACAATTATTTGGCCATATAGCTAGATATTGTTGGTGCTGTTTACAGTAGCATGTACAATACAGTACTGAACAAAGTAACTTACCTTTCCAGTTTCATTATCAAAATTTACATTAATTTATACTCATTCCATTATAGCATTAATAATATTATATTTTTCCCAACAGGCTGTGACATCCTCTGTGTGTGGGATTATTGTGGTGGCTTCTTGTCGCCATGATGTAATGTGGGCCGTCCACCCTCTAGCTGCTTGGTATGCCTGGGTTGCTGGCAGCTACTTTGTGTATGATACTGTTGCTATGTATCAGGTAAGTTGTGTAGCATCAGGTCCATGTAATATTGTTGGATGTGAATCATCTCCAGATAAAATTAACATTACACTAATGACAATGGCACCTGTAGGCTTAATGAGGTATATGACTAGTTTGAGGAACTGTTTTATAACAGCCTTGGAGCTGTCTAGTCTATGGGTCAAACCCAAAAGGTCTTTTCTCTATTTATTTATAATATAATAAAATATGTTCACTTCAACAAGGAGCACACCATAAAATCACTGAAGCTGTGAGGGATATAGAGTAGATGGCAGGTTTATCTGGGAAGCTTGTGAGGCCACGTCTATGGTTTTTTTTTTTTTTTCTTTTTTTTTTGGCACTCCCCTACATCTTTGTGTAAGGTGAAGCGCAGAGGCATTTACAGCGCCCAACAGGGAAGTCTGCTAAGTTCATGCTTGCCTTTATGTCTCATGAGTTAAAGGCGTAGAAGCCTGAAGAGTCAATGTTTTATGTCTAAGCAAGTTATTGGAAGCTCCAACAACTTTCCCTGAATACGAATTCGCAACTTTCGATTTACAGCAGGTACCTACTGTACTTTGCTGGTAGGTGAACAGGGACCAAGGGAGGCTGGGAAGTGTGTCCGAACAACTTTCCACCGGCCGTCTATGCTCTGTGAGTGTCGGGTGATAACTGAGTGAGACTGCCGGCTTCTTATGGCTGACCTAATCATTCGTAAGACGCTACTTGCTAGGGGAAAATACCCATCATGTGATTTGAACATGCACCTCACAGTTCTTGGAAAATTATGGGGGGTGATATCATTGTACAACATAAATGTATTAACCTATATTTATATAAGTGCAACTGTCTATGAGATAGGGACTAATACAAGCTGTCAGGTGGTCTCCAGGTAACCTCTTTGAAGCACCCAAGTGTGCGGCCACTAAAGAAATGATCTGAGAGATGATTCGCCTCGTATGCAGTTACACTCACGGCAGCTCCCTGGCCCCATTAGCTCTTCATATACTGGCAATAATTCCCCATCTAGTCTGCCAGAGAACACATGCAAGGAGTAAATGTAGGTATACAGTTCAACTTGTATAGACTGTGCTGATTATATTGCTGTATGCTAACAAAATAAAGGAAACACATTACAGTACAGTATGTATTGTGTTTATTTTATACTGTTGAAGTGATCTGTCAGCCACGGATAGTCAAAGTGCGCTGTAATGCTCGTTATATTTATAAAAAACTTTCACTATTACTCTCTAGACATACTGTCCTATTAAGACACCAAGCCTAAGCCTAAACAAAGGATCTTCCTGTAAATAAACATCTGACAGTTTTGTCTTACTGTTTACCATTGTTGTATACCTGCACTGTTTAGGCCCAAGGAAACTGTATACAATACACTACTCCCACCTTATATAGTAGTACAGTACCTGTACCTGTATTATCTATAGTACTGTACACTTTTTTGTAATAATTTTCACCAGTTATCTTCATACTAGCCATTCGGGCGGTTGGTATATCCAGTGTTAGTACAGGAGGAGACCGGGAGACCTGCAGTGATGTTTGGTAGCGAGGGTCACACTGGACAACACTCGCTCACGTGTGTCCTGGCCGAGGCTCGAACCCATGACATATTGGTGAGGGATACGAGTGTTACCACTGTACCACCAACACTCTGGCTGAATTATATATTTTACTGATTAAATATTATTGTTATTACTGTACTATCAAATTTAGCTCACAACGTGTAAAGAAACAGACAGGAGAGATCTTACTGAGAATATATACTTCAGTCTGTTGGGAAAATTAAGTTTCTGCGATGTTGTCGAGGCCACAAGCGAGACCATTCACAATTTTATCCTTTATGGATCACCTGAAGATTAGCCCCCCCCCTCATATAATTTCAGGGTGGTTAAACTTCAGGCTGGTTATAAGCTTACGGGCAAAGCTTCAGATGAACACTTATAGAGAGGCTAACTTTCAGTACAGTATGAACTTCATAAATATATATAGTTAACATCTCTACCCTCTAGTTAGTCATCAGTTGTCAGACATTACAGAATTAGGTACACTAGCGTTTAGTTTTACATGAACTATTAGTACAGGACTGTATAAATAACGTCGGATCATTCTGTACCTTTACTGTATTCCACGCCTCATAAGTGTCACTTTATTTCTCCTCATGTACAGGTTCACTTGTCTAGTCTACCCAAAGTTCCAGAACGTTTTGTGACGCGTCTGTCGAGCTACCTGAAGAGGAGGACGCTACTGGTATTACACCATGTTGTTGTGGCAACGTTTTTGTTCCCAGTAAGTAGCCCGGTATCTGTGTATCTCCTAGTAAGTAGTCTATAGTATTTCCATGCTAACCCGGTCTATAAGCCACGCCCTTCTTCTATAAAAATAGCTGATTGGTTCATAGAAAATGTTTGTGTAGTTGTCCATTTATTCAAACTAAATTATGCTCACAATTGGTAAGCAGATTTGTTATTGCTAAAATAATGTTAAATATCTGGGAAAAGAAAATGCAGGTGATTTCAAGGCATTAGCACATAAGAGAGGATGTTAGCAAATTCTAAATATTTATTATAAAAAGTTGAAGTCAAAGATGAAATTTACTTTTAAATGAAGTCTTTTATTATTTCTTTGTTTTGTACCAGACATAAAGCACTTATGTAGCTTAAAATAAAACTCAGGTCAGTTACTATAGTTTTATTTGAATAAAGTTCAAGTTTATGTGTACTGTACTGTACTGTACTGTACTGCACTGTACTGTATGTAGATGAGGCAGACCTTACACAGTTCACTCTCTTGTGGATACTGTCCCATACAGAGTTACAGAAATAATAGTGTTAGTCATACATAAGCATTGTTGTTTTGTTTCAGGTCTTGGTGTACAGAAGAGGTGTTGGTGACTTCTTTGTAGGATGTTTTTACTGTGTGGAGCTGAGTGGTCCTTTCACCAACCTGCGCATCATTCTCAGCCGAACTGGTCTGAAAGATTCAAGGTGGGTACGGTGACTTTCTGTCCCTGTTCGGTACATTATTTTGTTATGAACACTGGTGATGGCAGAGGAGAAATAGCTTAATACCTGTAGTTTTGTTTGATATTATTCACACCACGACTTGTGCTGGTAGACTGTTCTGTGTGTGTGTTTTATTTTTTTATTTATTTATTATTTTTTTTAATGGGGATTAGCTCACCCGAGCACAGGTCACTGACCCACATTGGGGCCTGGGGAACAATTACACTGTATACCGTATAGGCAAGTTTCTTTATGCCATTTGCCTCTGTCTACCCAGCAGTAATTGGGAACCTGGATGTTAATCAATTTGTGGATCGTATTCCGGGGTAATGGTTAGCCAGTGCAGTTGGCGAGTTGTCCTGTCTTCTCGGACTATTCTTTGACACTGGGTCATGCAGCTCGTTAACTTAGGGTGTGGTTGTTGCGTTGGCGACAGCTTCTACACCTTAAACACTGGGTCATGCAGCTCGTTAACTTAGGGTGTGGTTGTTGTGTTGGCGACAGCTTCTACACCTTAAACACTGGGTCATGCAGCTCGTTAACTTAGGGTGTGGTTGTTGTGTTGGTGACAGCTTCTACACCTTAAACACTGGGTCATGCAGCTCGTTAATTAATGGTGTGGTTGTTGTGTTGGCGACAGCTTCTACACCTTAAACACTGGGTCATGCAGCTCGTTAACTTAGGGTGTGGTTGTTGTGTTGGTGACAGCTTCTACACCTTAAACACTGGGTCATGCAGCTCGTTAACTTAGGTGTGGTTGTTGTGTTGGTGACAGCTTCTACACCTTAAACACTGGGTCATGCAGCTCGTTAACTTAGGGTGGTTGTTGTGTTGGTGACAGCTTCTACACCTTAAACACTGGGTCATGCAGCTCGTTAACAGGGTGTGGTTGTTGTGTTGGTGACAGCTTCTACACCTTAAACACTGGGTCATGCAGCTCGTTAATTTAGGGTGTGGTTGTTGTGTTGGCGACAGCTTCTACACCTTAAACATGGGTCATGCAGCTCGTTAACTTAGGGTGTGGTTGTTGTGTTGGCGACAGCTTCTACACCTTAAACACTGGGTCATGCAGCTCTGTTAATTTAGGGTGTGGTTGTTGTGTTGGTGACAGCTTCTACATCTTAAACACTGGGTCATGCAGCTCGTTAATTTAGGGTGTGGTTGTTGTGTTGGTGACAGCTTCTACATCTTAAACACTGGGTCATGCAGCTCGTTAATTTAGGGTGTGGTTGTTGTGTTGGTGACAGCTTCTACATCTTAAACACTGGGTCATGCAGCTCGTTAATTTAGGGTGTGGTTGTTGTGTGTCTGCCACTTGGCAGACTCTACACTAAATTATTTGAAAATTTTACTAATAGTCAATACAGTTGAAGCTTTTAACATCACCCACAAGGGATCTTGAATGTTTCATCTGTAACCAGATATATCTAACTTCATGTAAAATATGTGTGGTCTCTCTCAATTGTAAACCTCTGAACACAATATGAGGTATTAAGAAATATTGTATCAGTCTCTGAGGCACATGAGAGAAAATGGAAGACTCAAGCATACTGAAGCGGTGAGAAAATGGACGTCTCATCTGAGGGACTCAATAAAGAAGTTACAGCTACATGTTTTATGGGCTATTGAGTGTAATATGAATCATCTGATTTAACGTACGACCGTGGTCAGTACCGCGTGAAAGTGAAAGAAATACTCAAGATATAAAGGAAGAGAGTTGACATGTTGTTACTTTTATTTACACATGTAGTATAGTAAACCAGTGTGAGTTATGATCAAACTTACAGATGTTCTCCAATAACAGATGAATACATACTGAACATTTATGTGTTTACCATTATGTTTGTATTGTCTTGTCTTGACTGTCTTCTTCCATTACAGGTGGTACACACTCAATGGGATAGCTATGATCGTATCCTTTGCAACGTGTCGAGTTCTAGCGTTTCCCTACATGTACCTGGCTTATGGGGCTCAGTATAACATTGGTATTATGGATGTGATATGGAAGATCCCTGTGCACTGTAATGTGGGTTCCCTTATGGTGCTCCTACCTCAACTCCACTGGCTGAGACTGATGGTTCTAGGGGCAGTGAAGATGGCTCGAGGGAAGAGGGTAACTGAAGCCGAAGAGAAAATCGATTAAAAGTGAAAAATTTCCAGACTAGGGAATCCGGGGAAAATATTGAAGATATTTTAAAATGCTGTAGAATGATGTATTTAAGAATTTTGTACATAATTTCTGTACTTAAAGTTTTGTAAATGTTTGTTAACCCAATATAGCCATTCTTTGTAGCACTATATTTTGGAATTTTATTTTAATTAAAAAAAAAACAATTATGTGTGGTATATATTTATAGTATTAACCCAGTAATCTGTACTGTACACACTATCACAGTACTGTACATGTATACTGTACCTCCTTAAGTGGTTCAGTTTCTTTGACAACACAACACATAATTTTATTGTTTCTCGCTCTTGATTTGTTTTATTTTACTTTTCTTTTATGGTGCAATTTTTTCTGACCCCAGGTGAGCTAATCCCCATTAAATAATTCCTGTACTGTATTTAGTATTTATTTAATGGTGTAGTAAGAGAGATGACAGGAAGGGAGGAGAGGTGGTCAGCTTCTGTTGACATGAAGCAGCTTCAGTGGGAATGGTTATATATTCTAGAGAGAAACAAGGAGGTTGGTGCCAGTCAGGTCAGAGTCCTCCTCATTCTCACCACTTTACAGCCATTTTCTGTGCTTGTTTAGGTTAGCTCTTCCTGCTGCCAGGTCTTGTCAGGTGTTTAAATCTGAAGTTATTCCTCACAACCTCTTCTCTTATCCCTGACTCTCCTCCACATTCAAACTCATGGACCTCTTCACCCAGTTGTGGTCTCATTCATTCTCTCTGTGAATGAATTATCCTGTCTTATTTCACATCTTGCTTGAGTTCGAAACTAAAGATTCATCTTACATGAGCTGTTGTGAGAGGCCAGCAAGGCAGGCTGCGTCACTTTTTCTTTTATCCTCTTCACCAATTAATCGGCTCGTTAGCCGCTTCGGCGATCGGTCACGTCTCTGTTACTCACTGTTGGCAAGTACTGTTTTCTTCTTTCCTTGTGGTTATCAGCATATATATGTATATACAGTATATATATATATATATATATATATCAGGCTGAAGCCGTACCTCGTAACAATCTTCAAGAGTGAAGTGCTTCCCCATCTGGTGTACTGTCACCCCGAGATACGTACTGTCAGTTGGTTGAAAATGTTCAAAGGAGGGCCACCAGACTGGTGCCTGCACTTGGGCACCTTAGCTACCCTGAGAGATTGGAGCGCCTGAACTTGTCTAGCTTATACTTCAGACGGGCAAGGGGTGACCTAATTGAGGTGTATAAGTATCTCAAGGGGCACTACTCAGTTGAGTGTCCTTACTTGGAGCTGGCGGACGCTCGCCCCACAAGGGGTCACAGCTCAAGGCTGAAGAAGCCGCAGGTCCAGAAATCCGTAAGGGCAAATTTTTCGGAGTGAGAGTTGTGAACTCTTGAAACAAACTACCAGAAAGTGTTGTGACGGCACCGAGTGTGAACTTTTTCAAGACCAGACTTGACCAACACTGGAGCAGGTTCAGGTACATTCAGAAGCCGGTGCATGCCCAGTACTTGCCTACAGTGTGTAACAGAGACGTGACCGATCGCCCAAGCGGCTAACGAGCCGATCATTTGGTGAAGAGAATGAAATTAAAAGTAAAAAGTTGAGAGCCTGAGCTCTCTTGTAGGCACCTGAAGGTGTTATAGCTGGTTAAAACCTCTTAGTTTATAATGATGGCTTATGTGATGGTCTAACCCTTTGAAGACGATGGAACTTTAAACTGTCGTCTCAAAGAGTTAAGTTACGTTAATGTAGTGCTAAGTGTGTTAAGTAAGGTTTATGTATTGTTAAGTTGGTGTAAAGTGTGATAACCTCTGGGGGAGATAGAGAGGAAGGGTGAGAGACATAGAGAGAGAGAGATGAAGTAAATGGAGGTAAGAAGAGAGGTGGAAGATAGGCAGACAGACAGATAATGGGGACGTATAAGAGAGAGAGAGGAAGGGGGGTATAACAAGTACCCCAGACAGATAATGGGGATGTATAAGAGAGAGGGAGGAAGGGGGGTATAACAAGTACCCCAGACAGATAATGGGGATGTATAAGAGAGAGGGAGGAAGGGGGGTATAACAAGTACCCCAGACAGATAATGGGGATGTATAAGAGAGAGGGAGGAAGGGGGGTATAACAAGTACCCCCCTCCCCTCCGCTTTGTCTACATTACGACGAAAAACAAAAATAAACGTCTGGGAACCCCGCCCCCCCCCCTCCACCCCTGTTTCCGGTAGACAAATGACAAAAGTTCCAACGAACTCATCTCTGGGTCGTCAATCTTATCTACCAAATGCAACCATTAAATACAACAAACAACTCGATATATACCTCAGGGAGATGTGTACTTTAGGAAGGACTTTCAGAATTCAGGGGAAAGGGGAAGTTTAAGTGTGTGTACATAAGCGTATGTTAAGTAAATGTTGAGGAACTTAAGGATGAAGATTTTAGTAGGTAAGGAAGGTTAGGAGGGCTGACTATTATAGCTCCTCAGTGTGTTGGTCGCTGCCACGGTGTGAACAGCTAACCCTGAGCTCCGTTGCCAGCCGTTCAAGCCAAACATTGGATATATACAATAACTATTATATACATATAATAAGTATATATATATGTATATATATATTTAAGATAATTTATATAGAAGTCTTGTATTGTGGTATATGGCCTTGTATTATAACTAATAAAACTAACAGCCCAAACTATTGAACTACGTGATGGTGTGATTGTAACCAGAAAAAAGGGCTCCATTTCACATTGAGGAAGTGCTTATAATTTGTCTATTGTGTGGTGGTACCGGCGAGCTATTTACTAAGTCTGTGGACGTTATTGTGACATTTAGAGCCAGAATCATGACGTGTCACGGTAGCTTGTTATTAATGATGGTGACAATGTGTTGGCCACATTTGACGTGTGCAACAGATTTTCCTTCCTGGACTGTCGAATGTAAGTCAAAATTTAATTTATTTCCCCGCTAAAAAGTTATGTAATTTTAATGTTTCCTAACAATATATGCAGGATTTTCAATTAGAATCAAGTGTGTAGCTCTCCGCCCAATTAACAGGATTGATAATGTTCCCTCTAAAATTTCAGGATCCAGGATTTTTTGAGGAGGGACTTTCAGATTTGTGGTGAATGGGAATAAGTCTCAAGAAAGGTGTATTACCCGTTAGCGCCATGTATGAGCTGGGGGGTCGTGTACTGTATGTAACTTATATTTATAAAGTATTTCGGCGGCATTTGAATGATTTTAACTATCTTTATATTTTATCAGCTTAGAGTGTAAAACTGAATGAAATTATACACACACATACACACACACACACACATTTTAGTCTCCGTGTCCTGTCATGTGATGTTGACTGATTTTGTCAATTACTGGACCTATAGTTTAATATTCATATATTAATTAATTTATATTTTGAGAGCTTTTTCGTCACAAAATTTTATAGTTAGAGGGAAAGGCTTGGTTAGGTTAGGTTAGCCCATTACGAACTATCTTTCTCAAAGCCAATTATATAGTCAACTTTGGTGTTTTTAATCTTATACATTATTTCTTTTTACTGTATTTCTTCATCAATTGGATAGTTTTTATGTTGTCACAATATTTCCTAGTTAGAGGGTAAAGGTGGCTTCGTTATTCCTGCTTCATGAGTTCTAGAGTAAGCTGCTGTCGTTTTTCTCTCTCTCTTTTATGAAATGTATTTGTTTAATTTTTAAATTTCCATTCATTTTATAATGACTGATAGGTGGTGAAGATCAGGTAGTAAAAGTCAGGTGGTGGAGATCAGGTGGTGGAGGTCAGGTAGTGGTGATCAAGTAGTGGAGATCAGTTGGTGAAGGTCAGGTGGTGAAGGTCAGGTAGTGAAGGTCAGGCGGCTCATGGGTCGTAAGTATTAGGCTTGTAAACTCAGCTGACTGACTTCCTTCTGTAACACGGATTTAGGCAAGTTTTGTGGCTGTACAGTAACACACATCTCTCCTCACTGTCACGCTGGTAAAATGACGGTAAATATGGACAGTAATACCACGTCAAGGTGCGTTAAGAGTTTGATAAAGTTGTGCTTATTTACACACCTGTCAACCCGAGGAAGCTGCACTCAACAGGACGAGGCTTCTTGTTCATCCCACAACAGTCATGCATGCGGGTGTGCCGGACGGGTGCGAGGTAGATAGATTTTTTTTGTACTGGAATTAGCCCACCTGAGCGCAGGTCACTGACCCATATCGGGGCCTTGAGGGGGCGAAAATGTAAAATAGTATAATAATAATGATAATAATAATAATAATAAAACAGAACCATAAACGAATAAAAAAGAAAAAAAGTGAGTGTATATATATATATATATATATATATATATATATATATATATATATATATATATATATATATATATATATATATATATATATCACTAGCCCGATAAAGCACGTGAACTTCTACATACAATCAACACCTCAACCCGCCAGGATTCGAACCCACGGCCCATGACTGTGACCGGGAACACTATCTCTGGACCACCAGGATACTAAAAACAGTCCTAGACTTTGTTATATTTCACACAAAGACTGTTCAACGAGCTTAAGGCGCCGTTAAGGTGTTGATTGTATGTAGAAGTCCGCGTGCTTTATTGGGCTAATGATATATATATATGAATCCTCGTGTTTCGAAGCCGGATTTGGTAAAACATTATTCTGACCACCTACGTGATACGGGTAGTCCCCTTTAGAGGTTCACTGCGCCTTAAGCTCGTTGAACAGGCTTTGTGTGAAATATAACAAAGTCTAGGACTGTTTTTAGTATCCTGGTGGTCCAGAGATAGTGTTCCCGGTCACAGTCATGGGCCGTGGGTTCGAATCCTGGCGGGTTGAGGTGTTGATTGTATATATATATATATACACGTGGATAAGACAAATCTTGACGCTGAATTTATTGAGTTTTCGAATCGGTGGACGAGGGGCACAATTATGATGTGGTATATTTCGACTTAAGCAAAGCCTTCGACAGAGTCCCCCACGAAAGACTAATAAGAAAGGTTCATGGCATTAAAGGTGATATTCTAAAATGGATTAGGGCGTGGTTACAGGACAGGAAACAGCGAGTGAGCATAAACGGCGCTAAATCCCATTGGAGCAACGTCACTAGTGGAGTTCCCCAAGGCTCAGTACTTGGACCATTATTATTTATTATATACATAAACGACATAGATATCGGCATAGACAGCAACATAAGTAAATTTGCTGATGACACTAAAATAGGACGTGTAATTCAATCTGACGAGCACTTCGCAAAACTACAGGAAGATCTAAACAAATTTTTCGAATGGTCTGAAAAATGGCAGATGAAATTCAATGTGGACAAATGTAAAGTACTCAGTATAGGAGACGTAAACAGGGAAACCAGATACCAGATGAACAACGATGCCATTGAGAAATCCGACTGCTAGAGAGATTTAGGAGCAATGATAAGTAGGAATCTTAAGCTCAAGTAAACAATGTGTTTTTGCTCGTAACAAGGCTAATAAAGTACTTGGGTTCATACAAAGGAGTGTTAGTTACAAGACTAGCGAGGTCATCTTAAGATTATATCTTGCGCTTGTGAGACCTCACCTGGATTACGCAGTGCAGTTCTGGTCACCGTATTACAGAATGGATATAGAATCCTTGGGAAGAATTCACAGGAGAATGACAAGACTAATCCCGGGCATTAGGAACCTTGAGTACAGAGACAGGTTAAGGCATCTTAATTTGCACTCCCTCGAGAGACGTAGAATGAGGAGCGACATGATAGAGGTGTATAAATGGAAGTCAGGGCTAAACAAAGGGGACATTACAAAGGTACTCAACCTATCCAACCGGGAGCGAATTCGTAACAATGGTTTTAAATTAGACAAATTTAGATTTAGGCGCGAAATAGGTAAACACTGGTTTGGAAACAGAGTAGTGGATGAATGGAACAAGTTACCAAATATCATCATTAACTCGAATACGCTGGATAGCTTCAAACATAGGTTGGATGCTCATATGAGCAATAGGGGTTGGGTGTAAACGGGACTGCCCAGTATGGGCCAATAGGCCCGCTGCAGTTTCCTCAATTCTTATGTTCTTATGAAGAACCGAAACACATTAGTTCCATTGCACAAATACTTGGGTACCCTTCATTGTTTTAAAAGGGCTAAGAAATCCTTTCATTCTACTCAAACCAGGCGGCAAATTCCTACACTTAAGAATATTTTGACTGCCTTATCGCAATGAATTTGTTCCGTTAGTTCAGTCCCTTAAATTATTAAATATTAATGTCGTTTTTAAGTATGAATCAACTATTACTAATATATTAACAAGAATAGCCCAACTTTGAATGTAAATGGAAGTGTTTATTGTATTCCATGTAGCAACTGTAATGGAAATTATGTAGGACAGACTGGGAAAGCATTGCAACTCAGAATTGAACACACAAGTACAATATCAGAACAGCATGTGAAAGCAGTGCACTGTTCGTTCATGCTAGGAATAATAATCATCCCATGGATTGGGAAAACAGCTAAGAAGTGTACAATGTGTCACAGAAAGACTTCTGGTTGAAGCTAGTTTGATTAGGGAATTAAATTCTATAAACCTTAGTGATGGTCAGTACAAAACTGATGATATGTTACACAAATTTATTTATTAGTGGCCCAAGATTAAAAATGTTAAAAATGTTTTGAAAGCCTTGGAGTTAGATGTAGGAAAGATGATTAGTGGGTCCCATAATTTTGACCTGACTTAATTTGACTAGTCACGTCGCCCTTTCTTTTAAGCTCCTCTACGTGTGTGGTAGTGTTGGTGTGCTGATTAGTGGATGTCATGATTATGACCTGACCTCATGTTTAGTAAGGTCACCCTGTGTACTTAAGCCTCTCTCGGTCCATGTAATTCAGTTGCCTCTGAAGATGTCTTGAATAAAGACGAAAGCTAAGGTGCTCCATTGTTTCCCTTTTCCCTGTGTGATTTAATCAAATATATATATATATATATATATATATATATATATATATATATATATATATATATATATATATATATATATATATATATATATATATATATATTGCTTTGTCAATAGTAAGAGAAATAATTGAGACATTACAATTGTGTGTAAATGAGGTAGAAAATCGGATCAACAACCTGGAACTCTAGTCACAATTTTCGTGATGCCATATGGCAGCAGGGTCTACCACTAGACAACACATTTTGTTTCCAATATCTACCCAGGCGGTAGTACCTCCCTGTTTGGTAGATATATATTTCCTATAGTTCGTAATACTGTAAAAAAAAATGGTGAAATAACCGATAGAACGCAGAGGGTCAGCGTAGATGGTGTTAAATCTGAGTGGGGCCGTGTAACCAGTGGGGTTCCCCAGGGGTCAGTACTTGGCCCACTCTTGTTCATAATCCACATAAACGATCTAGATACTGGGATCAGCAGTGACATAAGCAAGTTTGTGGATGACACCAAAATAGGGCGGCAGATTAACTCAGGGCAGGATGCAAATGGAATACAGGAGGATCTAAATAAACTGCAGGGGTGGTCTGAAAAATGGCAAATGAAATTCAACACCAGCGTACTTAATATTGGAAGAACAAATACTGTCAATGTATACAGCCTTAACAACATCAACCTAGAGAAGTCGACTTGTGAAAGAGACCTAGGGGTACTTGTAAGCCCGGACCTGCGGCCTAGAAAACAGTGCGTTAATGTTCGAATTAAGGCAAACAAAGTATTGGGTTTTATATCTAGAAGTGTAAGTAATAAGAGTGCAGAGGTCTTATTGCAACTATATCTTGCGCTAGTCGGGCCGCACCTCGATTATGTGGTTCAGTTCTGTTGCCCCTATTATAGAATGGATATCAATTCACTAGAGTCGGTGCAGCGAAGAATGACGAAAATGATTCCGGGACTTAGAAACCTTCCATATCAGGATAGGTTAAAGAAACTTAACTTGCATTCCCTAAAAAGACGAAGAGTGCGGGGAGATATGATAGAAGTATTCAAGTGGGTGAAAGAAATCAATAAAGGGGACATAGATAAAGTTCTTATAATATCCGATCAGGATAGGACTCGGAGCAACGGATTTAAGTTGGATAAGTTTAGGTTTAGGAGGGAGATAGGAAGGAACTGGTTCACAAATAGGGTGGTGGACGAGTGGAACAAGCTTAGCAACTTTGTAGTAAGTGCGGGAACTCTGGAAAGTTTCAAAAGGAGGCTAGATAGATTCATGGATGATAGAGAGTGGTAGTAACTCTCGACAGAAGCTGCCATGTACAGGCCAACCGGCCTATTGCAGACTCCTTATGTTCTTATGTTAACCTATAACTGATACTAAAGAAGCTTTCTCAACTTTAATGTAATGCAAAAGAGTTACTTAGTAGTGTATTGAGGTTTGGTTAGGTTAAATTAGGGTGGGTTAGGTTAGGTTATGGCGAATTAAGTTAGGTTAAGTTAACATAGGTTAGTTTGGTTTTGGCGGGTTAGGTTAGGTTAGTGAGAGATTGAATTGTCTTCAAATTCAAACTGAGTGTGTGTGTGTGTGTGTACAGTATACCACGAACCGTTGCTGACGCTGGCAGTACGGTACTTGACTCACTCCGTCACCAGATGCTGAGAATGCCGCCACTTACTTAGAAGTGTCGAGTTTCTGTTTAGTGTAAAACTTGCCTTTCTCTCTCTCTCAGCCTATCATACCTCTCTCTATCTGTTTCAGAGAGAGTGAGTGAGAGAGTTATTTGTTGCCCAAGCGGCTAACGAGCCGATCAGTGGTGAAAAGGATGAAAGTAGTATAGTTATTAGTGTAAGTCCTCCTAGGTGAAGTAGGACAATATTATCACGTGTAGAAATTCCCATCAGCGTCAAGTGACGTCATTCCCCAGCCAGCGGAAACCGTACACTGAACCAAACAGCTGGGAATTATTTGTACAGGAACCGGATATTTAATGTGTTAGTGTTTTATTAATGTGCGTGGCTGTAGTAATAGTCAAAGTGCGCTCTTTCTTAAGGTCAGCGTATATTATGGCGTGCCACACCTGCGCATTATACGAGTGTAGCTTAATGAACATACTGTGACAAAGTTCATTTGTTACAATACATGTGTGTGTGTGTGTGTGTGTGTGTGTGTGATTTCCATATGTGGTTTTGTGTGTGTACGTGATTGAATACATGTGCTTTTCTGTGGCAAGGGGTATAATAGAGCTTGATGTGTGGATACTTGTGTTTGTTTTATACTATTACTACTACTATATTATTATTATTATTATTGCACACTTGTAAAGTGACATACATTGTTCATATGATAACGGTAGAGATAATAATGGGTAAAATTGGGGGTAGGAGGGCAGTGGGCAGGCGGGCAGAGACTGAGAATGGAGAGATACATTGGCAGGATTGGTAAATACAGCCCTTCAAAAATGGTTAGTGGTGGGCCGTGGTCGCCAACCCTCAGATATAATGATGGCACTTTGCTTGACTGTTTACCTAATATGTAAATTATTGTTGCACTCATAAGTAACTGAACACATTGCCCCACAGCGTGTCCTTTTCCCAAACTGCCTGCGGATCACCCTATCGGCATCTATCAACCAGAGTGGCTGGACTTGAGGAACGTGATAAAGCTGCCCTCGCAGTTCTTCTGGATCATCTTCTCTGGGGTGATCCTCAACATGGACAAGTTTGGTCTCAAGAGTGGTGTGCTTTATCACGTCACCCGCCATAACAAGACCGTTTTCGCTTTCCAAGAGGAGAATGGCCCAGTCCTTCCCTACAGCTTACCATTATCCAAAGTGGTCCTGGATAAGGGCTCTTACGGCTTCGTCTCCTGCGAGAAGAGTGAGTCTGGCTACGGTTGTGTCTACGTGATCAGGGAGAGGCTTATGGATAGTCGCATTTCACATTCATATAATATTTGGTGTGCAAGAATAAAAGAATGTCATATAATTATGGTATAGATTACCCCGTACATAAATACTGTGATCAAAGAAAATAGTGACAAAGAGTGGGTAAACTTAACTAAACTAGCTGCTTCAGTTGCTTCGGTAAGAGGCACGTTAAACCTAGGATTAGGTTAGATTGAACTAAGATTAGATTAACCTAGAGTTGGATTAAGTTGACATTTAGGTCAAGATAATTTGCTTTAACCACTTAGCCACTGAGCTGTCTGTTAGCCGCTAGGGCGGTCGGCCACGTCTTTGTTACACTGTTGACTTTAGTAGGTTCTTGTGTGAAGCAAGAGTCAACTTTTGTGTATTAGTGTGGGACAAGGCCACAGTTTACGGATAAACATACATGTACACATATAAACATGCACAAGGCTTACAGACACCTGCCTGCACAAACATAGAACACCATACACATTTACCCCACAGTCCCGCTAACCCACTCACATCCACCCACACAAATGCCTTTAACTCCCACACGGCAGCCTTCATATACCTCCCTTTATTACCCAGTAACACGCCTGAGTGTAAGGGATGAGTTGTTGCTTTTCAGTTCGAGGAGTAGTGTTGGATAAGGAAGCTGGAATATAATTCTCCACTTTTATCCGGGCGTTGTATTTAGTCTTCATGTTTAACAACGCTGAAAATACTTGTTCACATAAATAGATATAGAACTAAGGAAAACTTCAGCAAAGACATCATCAGCAGCAGGATAGGACTCAATCATTTTGGACCAGAACTTGGTTAGGTTAGGTTGCATCTTTTACAGTTTTTCAGCAACTTTGTTATCTTTAAGTCCCTCACTAACTTGTTCAAACATAGATTGTTTTCTTCAACTTTACCTCATAATATTGCTGTCAGTGCTTATCAGCCCTGCCCACAGAAGGCAGCACATGCGAATATTATGGCGGTTTATTAAAATATAAAAATAATTTATTGTGAAGTATTTAGCTCTTGGTGAGACTTTACTCCCACATTTAAACAAGTACTGGAAACATTAAAGCTTCATAAGTAAAACCTGGTGAAATTAGTCCTTTCCTCTGTGATAACCCACTGTCTACACTCTACCCCCTCAATCACCCCACTGTGAGAACCTTGGAGTAAGAGAATCCTCAGGTTAAATTACTAATAGCGAAAGTTTCATTAATTTAAATTAGCATTGGTTAAAGGTACAATAAGTTAAATTGGTATTGGTTAAAGTTACGTCAAATCAAATGAGTAAATTAATACTAGTCTAGTTAAATAAGATTGGTTAAAGTTTCATTAATTTAAATTAGCATTGGTTAAAGGTACAATAAGTTAAATTGGTATTGGTTAAAGTTACGTTAGATTAAACTTTGCATTAGGTTACATAATCTACTACAGACTTCATCTCTTCCTGCAGACAGAGATAAAGCAAAGGAAGAAGCCTGGGCCTGGTGGAGTACTATCCCTGTATCCTACATAACCATTGTGCTGATAACAGTGGGCGTACTCATGGTGGTCATGGCGGTGGTGGGCGTGATCGTGGGCGTGAGGCGGCGAAAACGATCAAGAGGGAACGCCCAGTTTATATGAAGCACACACACATACTTTACCCAGTCAATACAACTCACCGACAGTAAATATATTGTACAGTATTTCCTTACTGTATGAAGAATGATGTATATACAACACCTGTAGCTAATCTATTTTATATATTTATAATTTATTTCTATTAATAAAACATTCCAAGAAGGTGTTGTTGTGGTATGATTGACGTTTGGTTAGGTTAGGTTAAGTTTTGTTTGGTATGGTTGTTAGGTTAAGTTAGCTTTGGTTAGGTTGGGTTACATCTGTCGAAATTGTGTCTTTTGAAAGGTTTCTGAGACACCATATGTAAATTAATGAACTATCAACCTAAAGTATTATTCTTAGCGACTACCAGATTAAAACAATGATATTGTTAATAATAAAAATACGATAGTTGTAAACATTCTAATACTAATAAATAAAGAATATGATCGAATAAAACTTGGTTGTACAGCTTCAACGTCAGTAACACTGACTACTATGTCAAGGGTTCGAGCCGAGGGTGTTGTGAGCCGAGGGTGTTGTGAGCCGAGGGTGTTGTGAGCCGAGGGTGTTGTGAGCCGAGGGTGTTGTGAGCCGAGGGTGTTGTGAGCCGAGGGTGTTGTGAGCCGAGGGTGTTGTGAGCCGAGGGTGTTGTGAGCCGAGGGTGTTGTCGAGTGTGACACAACCACATATGGCAAGCTTCCCGGTCTCCTGTGTTAACACTAGATAGACCAACCGTCTGAACGGCTAGTAAGCTGATAACTGGCCGAAATTATAAAAAACCCTTCCACGTTAACAATATACTTATAACACAGGAAACTCGATATAAAAGTACAAAGTTATCTGCAACCCAGGTGCCACCAAGAGAGGTCAGGCTCTCAATTAGCTCAGCCATGTCAATAGTGTTTTTATTGTTCACTCTGTATCTGTATTTTTTTCTCGTTGTGGGCGAACTGCTCCAATCTTTCATTAAACAGTGATTGGACAGCACAATGACGTATTAGAATTTAGTTAAGGCGAAATGGTTTCAGCGACATTTATTGTTCAGTGGATAAGTGTTCTACCTACCATTCGTGGCGGCCTCAGTTCGATGCCCGGCTCCTCCTTTTTGAAAGTTCCTTCATTATCGAGATTTACTTTTGCTATAATTTTCCCTAAAAGTGATTTCAAATTTAAACTGGATGATAAATTTGTTGTGTTAATGTATTTTTAATGCATACTCGTGTTTCGAAGCTTCAATTGCTTCAATGAAGCTTCAGTGACGTCACTGTGAACCCTGGTATATATAGTCTCGACCAACACTCCCCACCGACTGGGTCCAGCTGACACAGGCAGGTAAGGCCCACACCTCTAGTCTCCATCATATACGTATAATTTATTTTCCCGGACGTGTATATGCACAGTGACCAATAGAAATGATTATTCTTTGGACACAGTTAAATAATAATGCTTAGTGTAATTAATTATACCGTTATATGGGTGGATTTAAGTAAATAGTTGCCGGCCAGTGGTTTGAGCAGTTATCTTTCGCACCCCAAGTTTCACTGGGCTGCAAGGTCTATGGTGTCCACTTTGCAGTTTAAACAAATAATTTGGTTTAGCACTATATGAAGTGTTACGCTCGCCAGTATTTTATTAATGTTTTTGACAAATATTCTTTCACCTACCCTCTTCCTTTTTATCAATGATTTACTCGTCACTCTTCTTCACATTCTCCCTTCCCCTTAATTCTCAAACTAGATCTGTTTCTGGAGCTGATATCATTACATCTATCAATGTGGATCTGTGCAGCATCTCCGAATGGGGAGGTATAAACTTGGCTAAATTCAATAGTAATAAAACTCAGTATTTACCAATTACACTTTCCAAATTAGATGATCTCCCACCAATCACATTTCAGCACACAATCATTCTGCCAAGTTCTAAAATAGATAAGCTAGGCCTCACCATTGACTCTAATATGTCATGGAAGCCACACATCCACAACATTTCTTTCATCCTCTTCACCACTGATCGGCTCGTTAGCCACTTGGGCGATCGGTCACGTCTCTGTTACACACTGTTAGCAAGTACTGGGCTGCACCGGCTCCTGAATGTACCTGAACCCGCTTCAGTGTTGGTCAAGTCTGGTCTTGAAAGAGCTCACACTCAGTGCCGTCACAACACTCTCTGGTAGATTGTTCCAAGAGTTCACAACCCTCACTCCGAAAAAGTTTGCCCTCACAGTTTTCTGGACTTTCGGCTTCTTCAATCTCGAGCTGTGACCCCTTGTGGGGCGAGCGTCCGCCAGCTCCAAGTAAGGACACTCGACTGAGTAGTGCCCCTTGAGATGCTTATACACCTCAATTAGGTCACCCCTTGCCCGCCTGTAGTATAAGCTAGGCAAGCTGATGTTTGGGCATCAAAATAATCTAACTCCATAAGCACTTGGAAACTCATGGCTATCCCCAAGGACGATATAAGGATTTGTCACTCATACTGACAGAATTGACACTCACTTACTTGACAAGTTTTACCAACAATAAAGACAGTTGAGGCTTTCAACTTCACTCACAATGGATCTTGAATGTTCCAACTGTAATCCGACATATCTAAGTTGCCTCAACATATACCACCACAGTTGCAATTTCAAACTCCGTGTCGTTATTCCAAGGAATAACGAAGTCTCGGGTGTCCTCTACGATTGAGAGAAAACGGAGGACTCAGACATCCTGAAGTGATGAGAATCGGACGCATTAGATGGGGGACTCAAATAAAGAAAGCATAGTTACTTTTTTGTGGGCTATTGAGCGTAATATGAATCGTCTGATTTTACGTTAACTTAAGTGTACGACCGTGGTCATTATACTACCACTGAGTTCTAGTTAAAGTGCCTTGTCTGTGCGGCGGAGTCATGAGTTATGAGGTGAAAGAAGATGATGTGTTTAATATCTTAATTTTGGATATTGTCGAGTGTGTTATATAATCTTCTGTAGTGGCAGTGAAGTAATATAATGAGCGTGTAATGTTGTAATCGAGAAATTAAGATCTCTTTTGCTATGTGTAAAGTAAGACCTAAGTGGTCCAGTCTAGTCTGAGTGTACTTAATTAACATCCTGTTCACTCCATATGTTAATAAATATTAAATTAGTAAACTACGAGTATCACAGCTCTATCCCTTCTACCCGTTGGTTCCCAGAAAATAACTTTGTAACTGACGTGCCTAGAAGCTCGCTAGCACGCTACCTTACAAGTACCTAGGGGTACTTGTAAGCCCGGACCTACGGCCTAGAAAACAGTGCGTTAATGTTCGAAATAAGGCAAATAGAGTATTAGGTTTTATATCTAGAAGTGTAAGTAATAAGAGTGCAGAGGTCTTATTGCAACTATATCTTGCGCTAGTCAGGCCGCACCTCGATTGTGCGGTTCAGTTCTGGTGCCCTTACTATAGAATGGATATCAATTCACTAGAGTCGGTGCAGCGAAGAATGACGAAAATGATTCCGGGACTTAGAAACCTACCATATCAAGATAGGTTAAAGAAACTAAACTTGCATTCCCTAGAAAGACGAAGAGTGCGGGGAGATATGATAGAAGTATTCAAGTGAGTGAAAGGAATCAATAAAGGGGATATAGATAAAGTTCTTATAATATCTGAGCAGGATAGGACTCGGAGCAACGGATTTAAGTTGGATAAGTTTAGGTTTAGGAGGGAGATAGGAAGGAACTGGTTCACAAATAGGGTGGTGGACGAGTGGAACAAGCTTAGCAACTTTGTAGTAAGTGCAGGAACACTGGAAAGTCTTAAAAGGAGGCTAGATAGATTCATGGATGATAGAGAGTGGTAGTAACTCTCGACAGGAGCTGCCATGCACAGGCCAACCGGCCTATTGCAGACTCCTTACTTTCTTATGTTCTTATGGGAATGGCAGAGGTGGTGGAAGTTACCGTGGCGTGGGGTGAGGTCAGGTAAGCTGACCCAACCTTTGTGTTACTAAGGTGTCGCCAGCTCAGGTATGGGCACCATGCAGTACCTGGAGGGGGGGGAGGGTTTCCGGGCAACCAGGAACCCCCCTGGGTGCGCCACTGGTCTGTATGAAGGTTATAAATAAAACAAATTCAATAGCAGTTTATGAGGTGTATATTTAACGCTACAGTTACCACCAATAGGATGTTATGGGCGGTGTGTTCAGTAGCTGTGGCGGCTTGGACAGAGGGATCTTGGAACACCCCCATCACATCTTGTTCCTGTCTCTCTGTTGTCATAATTCCTCTATCTTCAGTTTTATGTGAGGTCGCAGCTTCACATTTCTGAATCAGGTTTCTTAGAATGTGGTTGATATTATAAACTGATGAGATGTTAAAGATACCACAGGCACTCACGTTGATCACCATGTCGTCCAAAGAGAGGCTGAGGTCTTTGTAGTGGGGAGAGTAGGCGGAGCAGACGCAGTGGTGACGGGGCACAGTGAGAAGCACATCGATAGGTTTGCCAACATTAATCTTTACTTTAATTTCATCGTAGAAGGTGTCCATATGCGTCACTGTCCCGCCCTTACACTCATTAGTGGTACATAATTTTAAATAGAGGAAATTGACGTCCGCATTGTTCAGTGGCAGCTCCAAAACATGGTAGTAGTCTAAGTTCTCTTGGACATTTTCACTTGGGATAAATTTAGGGACTCCACATTCTCCAGGTTCCATAGTTGTCTGTTGTTTGGATATATTCCACGACAAACCTTCGTTGCTCTGTAACTTGTCATACAGAAGAGTTCCGTTCCAACGTATGGACTCGTCAACACAGGCACATTCACTCTCTTGTCTGTAACTAATGCTGTAACTGATACAGGTGCCATTTACTGGCAAGTGCCAGTAGCCTAATGTGCTGAAGCTGTCATCCCAGCTTCTCAGTCGGGTGGAACCTTTACACTTTTGAAAAACTGGGAAGCACACAGGGACGCGCAGGGTGCTGGTGTTATTGGGTAGATATTTTAGGAGTAACTTCTTCTCTTGAGGCAGAAGAAACTCTGCACTGGAGATGGAGGTCACAAAGCTCGGGCGGATGTGAAGGAAGGTGGTGGTATAATTAAGTCGTGTTGTTTGATGAGCCTTGGACTGTAGCGCCGCGCTCACCACCAGGCACAACTGAAATGTAACAACAATACAGCTCAGTCAACGTGCCACTATAATAAAATAATGTATAATTGATACACAGTTAGCCCCTGATGTATGAAGATTCTGTTTACCAATATACGAAGTTACGGGTAAGAAAGACCCGCCATTTAAATAATTTTGTTTGTAGTATTGGAAGTTGCTGAGGAGCTGGCACGGACATCTAAGGGCAAATTGTTCCGGACTTAGTCAGTTTATAAGGACAAACTAAATATGTATATATATATATAAAATAATGTACTGTACTGAAAGTGGTTAACTAAGGTAAAGTTACAGGTAATGTTTCAGTTATGATGGCAGAGAGAAGCGCTGGATTTTGTATCAATAGAAGGAATAAATGTGAAATGGATAAGGTAAACATTTCTTCTTTAGATAAAACCTCATCAAAAATCAAATCCAGTGAAAGCAAAGCGTCTCAACTGTACAGTTTACACGAAGGGTAGCTTACTGTTGGTGTCTTACTGTACTAATCCCAGCCTTCGTCATTACTGGCCTCAGCCTCACTGGCCACTGCAATAATATGCATCACTAGTGGCACCGTTTATTAGCAAGCAAAGACCATAAGTCGTAGACAGGAAAGAACGATAAAAATCGGTCATAATCCTATTTGGCACCTCGATCTAGTGTGACGTCATTCCTCGTAGTCCAAAATTTAGGTAGGGAGGGGGGCAGCAAGTCAAATGAAATTTAACAATATTATGCCTATGCTTAATGTTCATAACACATCATTTCCTAGCCCCCAAGCCTGTGCCCCCCCCCCACTTAGTCTAAGTGGGTATTAGCATGGACTATACCAACAGATGGCGCTATTATTGAGGTATCTGGTATCTATATCGCCTACGTTCGATTCAGTTATTCTAATTAGAACTTTCCTCTCTTCCATTTATAGTCTTTGTTAGCCAATTTCATTCACTACAATTTCTCGTAAGTATAAAAATATTATTGGTCTACTCGTACATGCATTGAAACACATCAACAACACACAACACGTTGTCAGTACTGCCTCTCTCTCTCTCTCCCAGTTTATCTTACTGTGGCGGTAACATTACATATTACCAGCCTGTTTACTGTCAGTTAATGATCACTTAAAGTTGCTTCACACTTATAAAGTTACTGTGCCTCAACCTACACTTTACCACATAACATTATCTTGCACAAGTACTGTATAAAAGAATTAACATCCAATAAGAAGAATTTCATATCAACATGTTTTTATTACTCATGTGAAATCATTTTAGAAGAACCTGTATATATCATTATTATATTAAGCAATAAAAATTGTTTGAATTTTTGTAATGGTAAGTATATGAGGAAGGGCTAGATTAATACTGCCAACTACTGTGTCATGTGTTGGTGAGTGCGTGCACGGCTTCTGTGTCGGTTCCTTTAGCAAGATTGTCTAATCCTCTACTATACTATCGGCGTTAACTCAGAGGATATACACGGCGGTGAGGTTCACAGCCACCAGCGACACAATGCTCCTTTATTCTATACTGTATCTGCCATGTTTAGCACACACACACAGCCACCGGCTGCAACTCTATTAATAAACCGTTTATTATTATTATTATTATTATTATTATTATTATTATTATTATTATTATTATTATTATTATTATTACACACACACACACACACACACTGTACACTAGTTTGCTCTCACTGGGAATCGAGTATGACGATCATCCAGCTATGATACAATGATATGAGTTAAGGATGTCACCTTAGTTGGTGAATTCTAAGGTGACTAAAGATGCCGATACGGGACCGGCAGGGTCGTACACAGATGTTGCACGTGTGGAGGGCTACATCTAGTGCGGGAGGGGCGGCGGCAGTGTCTTTCCGGCGCTGGCGCTTGTCTGCTTCGTTTTGCAGTCGGGCTAACTCGAAGGTGTTGACACCTTCTCGTGTGGTGCTCCTCCAAGCGTTACGTGTGGAGTAATCGTCTCCCAGGTGAGGGGGTCGATTCGACATTTTTTCAGGTTTGTCTTAAGACTATCCTCATACCTTTTCAATTGCCCGCCAGCGTTACGTTTACTATTCATTAGGTGACTGTAAAGTAGCTGCTTTGGCAGTCTACTGTCGACCGTCTATAGCGTGGAGGATGCAATGGGTGACAACAGCTTCACGGGAAGCAGATATCAGAGCCCAGGTGACACAGATAACACCACTGGGTCTTATACTCATTAATACCTTCCCTTATAGTGTCCAGGTCAGAGGCGTCACCACACACAATGGGTTAACATACCACAGTTATACTGTGAAGGTTTGGAGGGACGAACCTAATTTATTTTTATCCTCTTCACCATTAATAAACTCGCTTGTCGCTTGGGCGATCGGTCACGTCTCTGTTACGCACTGTTGGCAGATACTGATGGAGCTGCGTCACCTAAACCTGTTTAAGAATGTTTCATGAATGAGGGCGATTAGGTTCCCACATGAGCCACTCCTCGTGTAACAACAAATAATACTCGACTGATAACAAACACTACTTCAAACAAACTGAGTGAGGCTTTATCTTGGTCTCTACCTACAAAAAACGAAAACTTGAGTTTTTGCTCCAGTCCTCCCTTATCTACCATCCATGATCGGGAGATAAGTGACGCCAGACCCGCATGGTTAACACACTAGGTAGACTATGCAATATGTAGCGCCAGAACCACGTGACTGAGTTAACTCGTGCATGCTTGGCCTGACTATTCTGTAGGTAACACCGACAGGACACACCCGTATGTACACCTGACCAGTCCCAACACAAAAGAAAAACAACCCAAGACCCAACAAACTACTTGTACAAGTGTTTCTCTTTAACTAGAGTGAGTAGTAAGGCCCTCGATCACTACGCCTCAGCAACAATATACTTATATACTTTCATGTGTTTTATCTCATGAAACTACAACAATTTAACAGGAACTCACAAATGATATGCGTATCAAAGATTGTGAGTGAAACAAACGCGAGAGTATTTGAGTCGGTGTCTCATAATCACTATACTGAAAGATTAATTAATTTACCGTATTAATGAATGATCTACTGGCGGAGATATTTTGAGTGTTACTATGTAGGTAATGGTAGACGGAGTGATGTGTGCCAGGGTAGGGCAGCCTGTACTCTCGTAACAAGGGCGGAATAGAACATCAACTTGTGTATTAATAGCGATTGTTATACAGTCACGCACTACATACATAACACGATAACTTGATAACAAAAAGGATACGGAGAAGTTCATATTTCCAGGAAAACTGTCACAACACAACACAACACAACACAACACAACACCAACACCAACACACAACACAACACAACACAACACACAGCACCGACAACTGGTTCCATGACAAAACCCCAACGGGGTTGTCATTTGTCAACACTAACCTAACCTAACCTAACCTAACCTAACCTAACCTAGCCTAGCCTAACCTAACCTAACCTAACCTAACCTAAGCTTAAAAGTGTTTTATTTTATATTTTATATATGGGATTGGGGTTTTATCCGGTCACCCCGACAACTACCCACATCATGGACCAGCAGTATTGTTGTACCAATACCGAAACCAGGACAGCCTGATGCTTTTCATCCCATATCACTAACCAGCTGCCTGTGTAAAACCTTTGAGAGGATGGTTCTTGGCAGACTCTTATATAGAATCAGAGAACACATGTCTCCTAACATAAATGGCTTCACCCATGGTAAAGGTGTACATAATTGCATCACCACATTCCTAACTGTGCATGGTGATGAAAGGCACAGATACACCACATTTCTTGACCTAAAAGCTGCATTTGATATTGCCAATAGGCAACTGATATTGTACGAACTAGCCAAAATGGATATAGGAGGTAGGCTGTTACACTGGATAAGTGGTTACCTAACCAACAGAAGGGCTGCTGCACTGTTTCAGGGTTACAAAAGTGACGTTAAAGATATGCAACTTGGTACCCCTCAAGGTGGAGTACTTAGCCCCACTTTGTTCAATGTTCTTATGAATGCATTATTAAATTTAATACCAGACAACCCCAGCAATATCTCAATCAGCTATGCTGATGATATTCTTATACATACTAAAACTCATCGTGAAATGCAAACCACCCTGAACCATGTATACGCAGCCTGTGAGAATCTCGGTCTTATTATCTCCACTGAGAAAACTAAGGTGTTCAACAAACAAGCTGGTAACCGCAAACGCGGCCCCGCCAAGTTCAAGATAGGTAACAACACTATTGACTATGTTTCTTCTTTTAAATATCTTGGTGTTTCCGTCCCTTGTACCCTACCTGCCATACAACAGCTAACCCGCCAATGTACTGACAGACTGAGACCTCTTAGAAGAGTAGCGGGGTACAGCCCGCACTATGGTGCTAATATTAAAATTGTTAAGACAATGTACCTAGGCTATATAAGATCTCTGATAGATTACCACGCACCAGCGTTGGTCCTTCGTGACGGGAAAGGCGTTGACAAACTCGAGAAAATGCAAAATAAAGCCCTCAGAATTATCCTAGGATGTCCCATGAGCACTAAAGTACTTAATATGAGGAAAGAATTAGGTATACCCAGTGTTAAAGATAGAATAATTGAAGTTAACCTCATGTTAGCCCTGAGGCTTCTGGGTGGTTATCCTGACAACATTGTTTCCTTAAATTTGCTAGAATGTATGAACCATGGGACTGCTGAGTCTAAATGGATCTAAACTACAGCTACACATATGAAGATGGTTGGACTAGACCACCTGTACAAAGTTGAGACACAACAGTGCTTCCTGCCACCCTGGCGGACAGTTCCCTTCGATATCACAATACAGACGTATTCGCCTAAAAAATTAATTATACAAAGCATTTATCTCCAATACACTGCCAAATTGAGAGCTCTTGAACACATACACACTCTACAGACTGATGATAATATCACACAGACCATCTACACTGATGGATCTCTAAACACCGCCTGTGGGAGGGCTGGAAGTGCTATTGTTGTGACTCAACCTGACGGTAATATAATTGAGAAAGGAGTTAGAATTAACAACTGGGCATCCACTCTACAAACTGAATTAGTTGCCATACTCACAGCTATTAAATTCATTAAACCACTGTTACTGACAGTCTCATCATCACTGACTCTCTATCCTCACTACTTGCCCTTGGCACCCTCGACTCAGGTTGTCACGCTCTTGTCTCTGAAGCCAGACACAAATATGTGTGCCTTGTTGACCGGGGTGTCAAGGTCAAACTGTTGTGGATCCCCTCTCACATAGGCCTCATAAAACATGACAGAGTTGATGCCCTCGCCAAACTCGCGTCTAACAAAGACACCATTGAATACAATTTGGGTCTGTCAAAAAGAACCCTTAAAACTGTAATTAGGAAAGAACTTATTGATGAGTTTAACGCAAGTAGACAAGTGCAAACAGGCACTAGTCGAGCCATAGGTTACCATGATGAGATGTATCAAGTGAAACATGTATATGGAGCAAGTAACAAGATCACTAGTTTACAAGATGTTGTAACCGCTAGATTAAGGTTAGGATATAAGTACCTTTGGCGGTATGTTCCTCAAGCAGATGTAAACAAAACTAAATGTAAAGTGTGTGGCCAGACATATGGCCACACACTTGGACACTACGTCCTCGACTGTGTGAAGATAGAACCTTTTAGGGACAGGTCCAAGCACACTGTGTGTGAAATGGCACAACACTTCATCTCTAATGGCAAGATAGCCGACATATTAAGATTGTATCCAATTTTTTGCACTTAGTAACTATTTCAGTTCTCATGTACAGAACCAAATACACAATGTGCTTGAATACCTCTCACGTAAATGTGAATAACAAAGTGTGAGGCCAGACATACTGCCTCACACGCCTGTACTCACGCATTTGTGAATAAGTTACCCTTTATGTATAGAACTAAACAAATAATGTAAATGAAATACTGTGTAACATTCAGTGCCATAATATCCTGACAACGGGGGTTAATTATTATGACCCGTTGTAAGCCCTACTCTGTAATCCTTTTGCGCTACCGCTCACAGGATGAGTGTGGGGTGCACAATAAAGTAGCCGCTGTAAGAGGCAAAATCAAAATCAAAATCACACCACCACCACCAGGAGTACATCACACCACCACCAGGAGTACATCACAACACCACCAGGAGTACATCACAACACCACCAGGAGTACATCACAACACCACCAGGAGTACATCACAACACCACCAGGAGTACATCACAACACCACCAGGAGTACATCACAACACCACCAGGAGTACAGAGTACATCACTTCAGCAGGAGCAACAGACACCACGTGTATTGCCTCACCATCCACTAGTAATTAATTCACCACCTGAACGTAATCACTACTCTATACAGGTAAACACACCAATACCTACTTGTATTTGGAGATTCATTATAAGGTACAAGTTGTAGTAGTAGTAGTAGCAGTAGCAGTAGAAGTAGAAGTAGTAGTAGTAGTAGTAGTAGTTGTAGTAGGTGTAGTAGTGTCGACTAAGGAGACACCCTGCACCTCTTCCCCCAAGAGGGTAACTAAGACTTCCTTATCTGATAATAGAGTGGCACTGTGCGAGATGCCAGATAAGTCTCCTGAGGAAATGAGAATGTGGCGGTGAGGATGTGTGTGTGTGTGGCGGGTGAGGATGTGTGTGTGTGTGTGTGGGGTGAGGAATGTGTGTGTGTGTGTGGTGGGTGAGGATGTGTGTGTGTGTGTGGTGAGGATGTGTGTGTGTGTGGTGGTGAGGATGTGTGTGTGTGTGTGTGGGTGGTGAGGATGTGTGTGTGGGTGTGTGTGGCTGAGGATGTGTGTGTGTGTGTGTGTGGTGGTGAGGATGTGTGTGTGTGTGTGTGTGTGGTGGTGAGGATGTGTGTGTGTGTGTGCGGGTGAGGATGTGTGTGTGTGTGTGTGGTGAGGATGTGTGTGTGTGTGGTGGTGAGGGATGTGTGTGTGTGTGTGTGGTGGTGAGGATGTGTGTGTGTGTGTGTGGTGGTGAGGTGTGTGTGTGTGTGTGTGGTGGGTGAGGATGTGTGTGTGTGTGTGTGTGTGTGTGTGTGTGTGTGGGTGAGGATGTGTGTGTGTGTGTGTGTGTGTGTGGCGGGTGAGGATGTGTGTGTGTGTGGCGGTGAGGATGTGTGTGTGTGTGTGTGTGGCGGGTGAGGATGTGTGTGTGTGTGGTGGTGAGGATGTGTGTGTGTGTGTGTGGCGGGTGAGGATGTGTGTGTGTGTGTGTGTGGTGGTGAGGATGTGTGTGTGTGTGTGTGTGTGTGTGTGTGTGGGTGAGGATGTGTGTGTGTGTGTGTGTGGCGGGTGAGATGTGTGTGTGTGTGTGGCGGTGAGGATGTGTGTGTGTGGTGGGTGAGGATGTGTGTGTGTGGTGGTGAGGATGTGTGTGTGTGTGTGTGTGGTGAGGATGTGTGTGTGTGTGTGTGTGTGTGGCGGGTGAGGATGTGTGTGTGTGTGTGTGTGTGTGTGTGTGTGGCGGGTGAGGATGTGTGTGTGTGTGTGTGTGGGTGAGATGTGTGTGTGTGTGTGTGTGGTGGTGAGGATGTGTGTGTGTGTGTGTGTGGCGGGGTGAGGATGTGTGTGTGTGTGTGTGGCGGGGTGAGGAGTGTGTGTGTGTGTGGCGGGTGAGGATGTGTGTGTGTGTGTGTGTGTGTGGCGGTGAGGATGTGTGTGTGTGGCGGGTGAGGATGTGTGTGTGTGTGTGGTGGTGAGGATGTGTGTGTGTGTGTGTGTGTGTGGTGGGTGAGGATGTGTGTGTGTGTGGCGTGAGG